TATACATGAAATAGATTTTGTGATGTAAAGTTCTCAGTAATAAATATCCCGCCGTCATTACCCAAAAACTGAGCTTAAACATAAACTAATTCACTTTGCAAGAAATATAGATACAATCCATTCTATTTTTTGTGAACTGTGAAACTGTAGGTACTTCAAAATCAAACGTTATTACATATTACAAATTATCTTGTGATGTTTTTGCAGGTATAAATGAATTAAAAATGGCTCCTGCTTAAAAAAATATCACCTAATAATGTTGAAGATATTTTTGTGCTATGCCTGAAGCATTTACACAGGGTGTCGCCAAATAACTGCAAACATTTTTCGGGGTGTGATTCCATATCATATTTAATGAATGAAAATAATAATCGTTTCTTATCCAATTACCAAAAGTTTTTTTTGACAATTTCAATGAAAGGAGGTCCTTTTCGTTCAATTAGATTTAGAAAAATAATTCCAGTAGCTTCGCAGTATCGACATTCATGGTAATTAGCCATTGTACGCCACTAATTTTTATGTTCTATATTTTTGTTAGTTATTATTGTATTTTGTTTAGTTTCCGAGAAAAATAATAAAAAAACTGATTTGACTCCAAATTTTGATGTAGGTGTTCTTGTGACACTATCAATCATTCTGAAATTTTGAAATTTTATTAGTCACTAACTAACCCGACTGAAATTTGCTATCATGAAAGCTTATACAGGGTGATCAAAAACGAAGAAAGTAAGAACACATTCATATTGAATTTTTATCATAGAATATGACAAGCAATCGCCTTCTAGAAGTTACGCACTTATTTGGCAATACCCTATACAGGGTGTCCCAACCTTATTTATATAAAAAAATGTACCGTTTGTCCGTGAGACTAGTTCAAAGTTTACATAAAAAAACATATTTTTGTACGCTGTTGAAAAATGAGTGAACAAACTGGATGAAATTTGACATTTCAGAGGATAACCCTTCTAAGAGTTATCGAAGAAACGTGAAAGAGATTGTAGAAGGGTTGAAACCACGCTCACCCCCTGACGTTTTTTTTCAGAATATTCTTAGGTTAGGTAATAGAGTTCTAAAATTTTTTGAGCGAGATTACTGATTAATTATATTCATTTTGTTACTCTTGTGAAAATTTCGTATTCCGCATAGTTCCGAAGGAAAAAATGTTTTCTTGAATAAAGCTAACAGATATTCCTAGTAAAATCCTCTGAAATGCATTTTTGTCAAATTTCATCTGATTTGGTTCACTCATTTTTGAACAGTGTACAAAAATGTTTTTTTTTTCATGTAAACTTTGAACTCGTCTCACGTACAAACGGTACATTTTTTATATAAATAAATTGGGTCCACTCAACTTATTTTGACTTGTATTACACGTGGTAGCTCTGTGTCCCTGCAATGTTGGGACACCCTGTATATCAGTAACGCAAGACTCGATAGTCCGAACGTTCAATAATCCGAATTCTTCAGTAGTCCGAACAAGCATTTTTAATACATTGAGTACTCTTTAATCCGAATTTCATAGTACTCGATAATCCGAACCTATACCTTTAGGCCTATTTATTTCCAATAGAAATTGTGAGTGAAATGTTCAGGGATTCCCCTAATTGTTCTTTTGTTAGTATCTGGGATTCAGATAACGCAAGGAAGAAAATAATATTCCGTCAAATGATATTCTTGTACTTCACAGATTAAAAGAAATGGCCTTTATAAATAATCAAAGATGTGTTAAGCAAACAAAAATTACAAATTACTTTAGAAACTAGTATTATATTATTACTTTTATGCATATTTTAGTGTTACTTTTTCGTATTTATGTTTTTTTTTTGCATTTCGTAATAAAAAATTTAAAAAAAACTGCTTCGGTAATCCGAATTTTTTGGTAATCCGAATCGCCTTGGTTTTCATTAGTTCGGATCATCGAGTCTGCACTGTATCGTCTTTGTAAAACTATCGACTTGATTTCAATACAGTGCGTCCACAAAGTGATGCATTAATTGTTTATTCAGCTTATAATGACATTACCTGTCGTTTTATGGCCGCCACCAAATGTTGGTGATGTGTATGGTGAAATACGTTTTTCTACTATTGTTTGAAAAAGTAATATAAAACAAGTAAATAAATAATAAATAATCCTGACTGAATCACAGCCTTTTATGATACATACAACTATGATTTTTGTATATTGTGAAGAATTTATCTGATTTATACGGGATGAAAATAATATTCACACTATACATTTAAACTTTTTCCCACAAATTTATTCGAGTCATAATCACGTAATGAACGCATACAGTTACAAGAAATGCCAAATACATTTCCGAATAGACGTTTTAAAATGTGAAGTCTAGAAATTGCAAGGCCAGTGTTGCCAGGCTCCAGAAAATTGCAGAATTTCAGGAAAATTGGAATAGTCACATTATCCTCATGAGAAATGTAACTTTTCAAGAAATTGCATCGATCGATTGAATTAATATTTTCCTTTAGAGCAACTAGGGGAGTGAACTGCAACAAAACTGTAACTGATGTAGGTAATACCATAACGATGAGGAAACATATTACTATATACAGGGTAACTCACGGTCGATGGTACGTTAGACGTTTATGGAGAACGGGACATAGGATCATTCTGAAATTTTGGTTACTCACGTAGTTGCTCTTGGTCTATCGATCTAAAATATTTTCAGCTCTGCGGCGTTGCCGCTTCTATCGAAAAGTAGCAGCAACTTTGTTATTTTGAATGAAACACCCTGTATTTTATTACATTTTCAGATTCTCTCTGAAGAGCTGATTCCATCGATGTATCACACTTGGGGTCTAGCGGAAATTATTACAGAGATATAGGGTGTGAAAAATCGTCATTTTTCAACTTTAGGAATTTTTTTGTCGAAACTATTCATTATTGGTCAAAACGGCTTACATGTCCCTATCTCAACTTTTGATTAACTATCTACTGATATTTAATTGGGACATATACCGGGTGATCAAGATTCTGAATTCTGCACCACCCTGTATTTGTTTCAATTAAATGTCAGTAGATAGTTGATCAAAAGTTGAGATAGGGACATATGAGCCGTTTTGACCAATAATAAATAGTTTCGACAAAAAAAATTCCTAAAGTTGAAAAATGTCGATTTTTCACACCCTATATCTCTGTAATCATTTCCGCTAGACCCCAAGTGTGATACATCGATGAAATCAGCTCTTCAGAGAGAATCTGAAAATGCAATAAAATACAGGGTGTTCCATTTAAAATAACAAAGTTGTTGCTACTTTTCGATAGAAGCGGCAACGCCGCAGAGCTGAAAATATTTAAGATCGATAGACCAAGAGCAACTACGTGAGTAACCAAAATTTCAGAATGATCCTATGTCCCGTTCTCCATAAACGTCTAACGTACCATCGACCGTGAGTTACCCTGTATATCCATCACTGCCGTGAAAGAAAAATATGCAAATTAATGATTTTTTCTTCAATCTCAATGAATTAGGAACCATCCATAAAGTGGAAAATTTCACAATTTCAAAATTTCGCCAGTCGCCAAATTTAATTTAATGTCGCATTTCACCAAAAAAGCAGCCGTTAATGCGATAAATTATCACACCTGGCAACACTGTGCAAGGCATTCAACTAGAATTTCACTCTGGTTCACCTGTCTATAAGTGGGTGCTAATTGCATTCATTTTAATACATGGCGTAGTCACAATAATGAGGATTCATTAAAAATAATATCCGAAAATCTCAACATAATCCATTTGAAAATATTCCGAATATATCTATATACAACCATACATATTTGCAAAAATGCAACTTCAAATTTGAAATATACATTTCAGTTTACTTTACACATGATAAATATACGACTTATATTATTTATGAAATATTCAATGCCTTTGCAACCACTTACTCCTCTGGCCAAATGTAGTTATCAAATGCAAAAGCTCAGTAGCAGATATCCAGTAGTATACAGGGTGTCCCAGAATAACGTTCGAATACTCCGGGACATAATTTTGCAGATAAAAATACGAAAAAATGTTTCTATCAAAAATGCGTCCTTAAATGCAGTTTTATTCAATTATCTTTGTTATCATTGATCCTAGAAACACGAAATTTGGTCTTAGAAATCATTTTGCGGTACGAAAAACATTATTTGATATACAGGGAGGTGCAAAACTCCCAACCGGTGCGTTAAAAATGCCCCGAAATTTTTTGTTTCTAGATTTATCTGAATTCTACTACCAGAATATGATTTTCTTCAAACTTTTTCATACGAAAAAAATATTCTTCTTAGAATGCTGTAAAACGAACCGTTTTCGAGAGTGTAATTTTTCATTTTGATGTACAGGGTGTCCCACTTTATTCTCTTAATTCTCATCATATTTTGGTTATTCAAAAACTTATCTGAAATAATTTTTCACGAAGTTTTTGAATCTGTGCTCACTTTTTATTTTATATCAACAATATACAGGAAGGCCCCGAAAATTTGTTTTTTCAAAGAAATGATCTATATTTTTTCCATAATCCGATAAAGCTCGTCAATCTGCATTCAGAAATAATATATTATCGAATAAAATTTTGATCATTTCATTTGGAGAAAAAATTGTTCTCGGCCACCCTGTATTTTGTCGAAATAAAGAAGAAATGAGTTAAGTTTCGAAAAAAAAAAACAATTCCTGAAGAGTTTTTGAATGACGCTGAGAATTACGATGATAAAGGCGGAGTGGCACATTTAAGTGAGACACCCTGTACGAAAAAATTCACAATCATTTTGAGCGTGTGAGCTCCAATAATAAAAAAGTTCGAACGATAATTAAAATATCACATTTCCACTTAGTTTTGTTTTATTAGAGTTTGATCGTGATGTTGATTTGTTGTTGATAAATTTACTCTCTAGGTCTAGGGCTCTAGCTTCCTCAGGTAGGATATTCGGACACATGCTGATAGAATCATTTTTTCTTATTTTCATCAGCATTATCATATCGATTTTCCATCGCAATTTTTTAAATAAATAAAATGACGCGTACATTGGATGTTGAAAAAACTATGCAAGAACTTCCAAGGATTCAAAATCAAGAAAGGTGAAATACGACAGATGAAAGAAATATTACTAAAGAACCAACAAAAAATCAACTAGTATATAGTGTGTCCCAGAATGATAAATCACAAGAAAAAATGGTTGAAGACATTTTTCAAAAAATATGCGCTCTCTATTATTGACCGTCTGGCAACATTGCAAAAGTCGGTGCTTGTGATTTCGCCGAAAGCCAACGCTTGAGTTGGACTATTGACCTCTCATCAATGATTTACAAGTTTCAGGCAAACTTTGAAGCTCAATATATCCCAAAATATTTTTTTTGCCAAAAATGCATTCTTTCATTTCGTTTCATTTTTTCGTTTCCTATCATCCATTTCATTGATCTCCCCAATTTCGGAAACACCCTATATAATAGGAGCCGAGATCCCTGTATAGAGAAACGAATCTGTGACACACTATATCACTATTCTTGATTATTATCTATCTTGAAATATGTTGGTATGTGTATGCAAGAAAAAACGTCTAACCATTTTTATTGGTACTGTTGATAAGTCAAAAGATTTTTTTGAGTATGCCACTAAATACTCCCTTCAATGATTCCCACATTCATTACCTGATTTTTGACTTACTTGTGTATTCATTGATACTCTTTGAAACTATTGAATCATTATCTACGAGTTTCAGCTCAATTATCTCATTCTGTTCATGCAGAATTACTGATTCTTTGACAAGAATTTCTTCACTGATTTTGTGATAAGAGACATTTTTCATGAATGAATACTACAACATCCTAGATCACAAAACCTGTGAATTAATGGAAGCCAAATAAAGGATTTTGATTGAACTCAACAAAATCTTGAAGAAAAATCCAATTTAAACGCCGTAGCTGCTAAAAAGAACATTTGGTATGATGATATGGAGGTTAGTTTGTTATCATTGAAAAATCACTGTGAAATCCTAGATTTGCATTCCTTGCTATTCTAGTCCCCCATCTAGTCCAAAAACGAGGGAGACCCTGTACACTGTCACAATAAAGTCCATACAAATACCTACTTACTCGTTCAGGAGATTCTCAAGAGACTCGGCTATGGCACTAGAGTCTTCTTCTTCGCCCGCAGATCCCGACCCTCCAACAATTTTCGTCAGATCGTTCACGATCGTCTCCAAATCGTTGCTGGTCGAGCTGCTGCTCTTCTTCTCCACCTCCCGAAGCCTGTGTTCCTCCTCGTTCTGAGCGATTTGCTCTATGGCGAGCTGCGCAATGTGGAAACCCGGTTCGTCCGGCGAAAACCCCTGTAGACACTCATCGGAGGAGAAGAAGTCCATTTTCTCCTCGACTGCCCCAAACCCAGCAGGATTGATAACTTCCGGTTCTGGTTCTGTAGGCCTCAGCTCTGCAGGGTTTTCCATACTCTCTCGGTTGCTATGACAACCGAACTCTGTTGGAGAGATCACAGGAAGTTCTGGTTCTGTGGGCTTCAGTTCTGTAGGATCTTCACCATATCCTAGGTTGCTATGACAACCAGACTCTGTTGAGTCGAGTTCATTGTCATTTGGACTGCTATCAAGAGGTTCAGAACTCTGTGGTTCTGTGGGCGTCAGTTCTGTAGGATTTTCAACATATCCTGGGTCACTATGACAACCAAACTCTGTTGAGCCGAATTGATTGTCACTTGGACAGATATCGAGAGGTTCAGAGCACTGTGGTTCTGTGGGCCTTAGTTCTGTAGGATTTTCAACATATTCTGGGTTGCTATGACAACCAGACTGTGTTGAGTTGGATTCGTCCTCATTTGGTTCTTTATGTGTTGCAAAGCCCTCTGGCTCTGGTTCTTTGGGCCTCAGTTCTGTATACTCTGGGTTGCCAAGACAACCAAACTCGGTTGTGATTAATTTTTCTTCATTTGGTTCTGCAGGTGTTTCAAAGCTCTCTGGTTCTGTGGGCCTAAGTTCTGTAGGATTCTCAATATAATCTGTTGAGATAAGCTTAGCTGCATTTGGTTGGATATCTGGAGGTTCCTTAGGAATTTCAGAACAATTTGGCTCTGTGGTTCTCGGTTCTGCAGGATTTTCAATACACTCTGGGTTGTTATGACAGCCAAAGCCTAAGTTGAGGTTAGCCTCATTTGTACTAATATCTGGAGATTCCTGAGGAGTTTCAGGACAGTCTGGTTCTGTAGTATTCTTAGCACAACCAAAGTCTGTTGAGTTGAATTCAGCCTCACTTGGACTAATATCTGAAGGTTCCTCAGGAGTTTTTGAACACTCTGGTTCTGTGGGCCTCAACTGTGAAGGATTTTCCATACACTCAGAGTTGCTATGACAGCCAAACTCTGAGAGGCTAACTTCAGCCTCACCTGGAGTGATATCCTTAGGTTCGTCAGGAGTTTCAACACTTGCTAAACTGACATTACAACCAAACTCTGTCATTTCCCATGTGGGTTGACTTTGTGAGGAAGTAAGATGAGAGTCCTTGGGGCATTGAGACGAATCTTCACTGGATATCCTCTCTTGCTGTGTCGAAGTATTTGTCATTATATCTCCAAGTTCCATTTCTGTTTCAGTCTGGCCTTCTGGTGCATCAGCAAAGTTTTCCAAACTATTACTCTCAACATTATCTATGTCCATTGTTGAACACGGATTTTCCTTCATATTTCCAGTGGAAATTTCATGTTGTTCTTCAACTTGAAAACTATCTTCAGTAGCTATCATCTCTGAATCTTCATCTACCTCCATTTTTTCCGGATCATTCAGTGTGCTTTGGACATCAGTATTTTGGAAGCCTATAAATGCTGGAGTTTCATCATCCTTTTCACTTGCTTCCAAAGGAGTATTATACAGACTTGTGTCTTTCATTCCATCATCTAGAAGGTTTTTGGAATGTTCAGATTCGGGTGTAGTTTTTTCCTGGGTTTCTTTTGGCACTTCTTTTTCAGTATTCCCAAAATGTTCCTTTACAACCTTCAGTTCTTGGTGTCCGCTGCCACAACTCTCATCTTCATTTCCTTTAATATCTTCTGCAGATTCTTCCACTTCAGTTTGTACATTGGAAATTCGGAAAGCAATTTCACTACATGCCCTAGTTTCTTCTTCTACGCCAGTGCCATTTTCTTTCTCACTCACTACATTGGTAATCTGGAACCCCAAGTCCTTGTAGGCATCCGCTGCCCTGCAATATTCCTTTTCAGTTACCACCTCACTGATACGAAACCCCAAGGAATTTTCATTGCTTTCGATAACATTCTGCACTTGAAGTGGATCTTCTTCTGCAGAATAAACGCTCTTATGACAGGTGGCTCCTCTTATATCTTCGACATTAACGATCTTCAAAGTGTTCTCTGTTTTACCCTCGATAATGGGTTGGGGACCTAAATCGACCTCTTCGGTTTTGCCCCTGGTGAAATTGACTATGGGGCTGTCATAGTCTCCCATGATTTCTTCTTCGATGGCGATGTCTTGTTCGCTGAAGCCGACTAGATTGTCTTCGATTTCGATGGTGTTTTCTTCCAGATAAAGGGGCTCCGATTTGATTTCTTGCAGCTGCATCAGCGGGTCTGCCTGGTCTGTGTGGGGTTCCCGTACGATAGTCGAATTGTCGAAGTTGGAGTGGTAGAATTTGGGGACTTTTCGGTTAGGGCGAGATCTGGTGCCTTTTTTCGATAGAACTGGCTGTGGAGACTGGAATACGACATACGATGTTAGGATCATTGAGCTAAACAAATTTGAGCAGCGTTATTCACGATTAGATACGTTGAAAGTAGATATTTTGAAAAAAAAAAAAAGGTTAGAACCGGCGGGGGTTACGGCATAAACGATCTTTTTGACTGCACGGGGTACAGGAGTGAGGTGAGATAAGATAAGGTTATGATTTCGTGTTGTCTTTATGGTTTGTTCTCGGGTTTGATGGATGGATATTCATAAGTTATTTGAAAATGGCTATCACAAAATATAGTGTAAAGACAGTGAAGGACTGATAATATGAGTGCAAAATAGGTTCGTATTTCTAGATAATATATGTATAAGAAATTAGTGGAAGAGCTTTCATCAGCAGCCAGAAAATTGAACTCAAAATCCGAATCTAGAATTTGTCCTGCTGGTCCAGATACAGAATGTTTCCAAAAGTTGAGAAAGAAAAGACTTCAGGAGACAACAGTAGAATATGATGACTTTTTTCTCGAAATACTGACAGCCGCCATCAAAAAATTATAAATTTGAAAAAGTATGTATTGGAATTTTTTTAATGATTGGTGTATGATTCTCTTTCTTTCTATAGCTATAGTAATTAGACTTGCAGAACATATATTCGTCTGATATTCCAACCATGAAAATGACCATTAAAGCTCACCATACTTTACACCCTGGTGAATCTATGGATCTATATCAATGGAACGTGTGCATTCAGGACTTGTCATATTATTATTATAATAAGTCATTTTTCCTCGAATCCAACCAGACAAACCAGGTTAACTATATGATGACGTCACGGTAACTTTATTATGACGCCACGGTTAACTTGTGAAGCTTGACAGATATCAGGTGTTTCTGTTTATTGTTTGGTTTTAGAAGTAATACCACAAAATAGTTGGGTATTCTGTGGTAATACCTCGAACATCCTGACTTCGACAAATACTAATATATTGGAGAAGAAATTCATCATCTGTAACAAAAACAATTCTCTCCGTACATATTTACAATGAATCATATATTCATTTTCCATCAATAATATGATGAGATCTCTGTATGAAATATTTTTTCTTATCATTTATATAACCTCAGATTATAACAACAACAAGAGCTCAATCAAGTAACCAATCAAAAGCCTTAGCTAATCCGTGAACTACCTCAGTGAGCTGGTTTGTGAGGTTGGTTAACAATAACGTCATAGTTTGGAAAACATTTCGCGGAAAATTGACTGGTTAACTTATTGTTGACCCGGTATGTGTGGTTAACTTCGAGGAAAAATGGCCATAGTCGGGACATTTTGGGAAGGCGAAGTCTACCATAAAACGTTGGTGAGACGAAATGTATATGTTCATTTCATTTCAACTTTAACTGCTTGATGGTGATAAGAATGACAGTTGTTGTCCGACCAGCCCTAATTACACTAAGACTAATGTCTTAAGAGATTAAGCTTTTGTGATCTGGGTAATGTAGAATCAATAGAAGTTGTTAACATGAATAAATAGGTATTAAGAAGAATAGGATTATAAAACTACAATAACTGTATTCAAAATGAAACTATATTATAGCTTCATCAGGTACATATTCCAACAGTCATTAATTTATCATTGGTCTGCGTATGATGCCGATGGTGAATCTTCATTCTTCAGTCAAATCTCGTGTTTTGGAAGCTTTTCTCTTCATAGGAACCTGATAAAAATAAAATAAACCATTAGATCTATTTGTTATAACAGTCGAAAAAATACTCACGATGTTTCACATGGGCCTTCTTGTCGTATTCAGTCATGTTTTCATTAGAAGTTGGAAATAATCCAAAACATTTAACACGAGTTTTCTACTTTGCTCGTTCAAAACTTCACGTCGAGCCATTTTCAAATTCCGTATCACAAGCTGATAACAATAGAAGAAGTAACACAGCACACGTCAAAGATGAACACATCCAAAATGAGGCAATTGTCAGGCCAATTTCGAGTCCCTCTCTGTTAATCTACCTGGTTTTGAAAAGAAGTACCTCTAATCGGCCATCCTTTTCTGGTATAACAATTCCTCTGCAACGTTAATCGTAGCTTAATTTGGGGCGTGCTGGGAGTATCTTAAGTATATTTCACATCAGTGGAAATCGTTTGGACGTATCAAAATCATCTTCATTTAGTTCTTCTGTTAATTTAATTTTCTAGGGATGGAATTTGTTAAGTTTCAAAATACGCTGAATGCTAGTTCTTGAGATACCGAAAACAGTTGCTAGCTGTCTTGTACTCAACGTATAGTCAACCTCAACACACCTCACTGGCGGTTCGATTTGCTGTTTTTTATTTGCTACCGATCCCGTTTCTCGGAATTTTGATACTAATTCAGACACATACTGCCGCGACACAGTCCTACCATATTGTTGATTGAACCATTCAGCAGCCCTTTTCGCACATTGTTTACATAATACAGTTCAATCAACTCAACCCTCTCTGCCACTGTATACACCATTGTTTCGTTTTAATTTAGACGTACGATACCACACACGAATGAAACTCACTTGTAGTACACACGTGAAAAACAGAAACTGCATGCTTTATCTGTTTGTCCTATTATATTACAATATGGGTACCGCGAAAAAATTGAGCAAAAACTTTCACAGTATCGTTGCAAATAAATGAGAGATTGCAAAAAACTTGCAAATGAGTGTTTCAGAGACGTACAAGTAAGCTCTTAACTATCGTACAGGTTTATTCCTGAATTTATTTTCTCCCAAAAGATCCATCCCAACTACAAAATCGGGACGCGATTTTACTAAATATACTGTACGCTAGCACAAACCACGCCCACCGTAATATCTCATCTTCGAAGTACTTAGGCAAAACTCAGAGACTATTTATCCTTAAAGAACTAACCTATCCCTGATTGCAATATTTTTGAGGAAGGAAAACCAGAATATAGTGTAGAAACAGATTGATTAATAATATATTTCAAAAGTTAAGTTCTTCAACAAAATTGAATAAAATGAGACTGTTTATCCTAAACGCACTAACCTATTTGACTTCAAATATTTTCTGAAAAAGGAGAACCAGAATGAAGTAAAAAAACATTGGTGAAAAAAAAAGTTGCAAAAAAAGTTCAAGTTCACAGCGATTCGAACCATGGACCTTCAGACTGAAAGTCGACAGCGCTAACCATTAGACCATTTGGGTACATAAATTTACTGCGTACAAGAGATTGACAACGAGAGAGCTTCAGTCGAATTCGTGTCAAAATCATAAAAAGTGTATTCTTGCGTTGGAGCACAGTATATTTAGTGCGATGTGCTGACTCCGAGTATATCGGTAATGTTTGGAGATATGACGTATTATGGTGGGCGTGGTTTGTGCTAGCGTGCAGTATATTTAGTAAAATCGCAATCGGGACGCCGTTGGAGTTCAAAAGATGTGCCACTCCACCATTATTCCCTATTCAAATTTTAGGGGTTGTTCACCACACAGCTCGAGTGTTGTAGTGACGGTAGTGCATGTAGGAGAAAAAAATGTCCCCCTCGAAACCTGTCAGAAAATTTTTCCACATTTGCGATATTATCACCCAAAACCTAGATGTCGAGTTTTCGGCCACCCTATGTTGTGTCTCACCAACGTTTTATGGCGGATTTCGCCTTCCGAAAATGTGCCGACTATACCTTATCCACTCTTACTTATGTTTATGTTTCCGACCACCAAGAGACAGTTTGGAAGTTCCTGCGCATTAAGCAAAAGCGATATATGATAGAAGCATTCGGGTTTTGTAATGAGCAAATGAGAGGCGCAAAATACAAAATGATAATGTTGGACCATGACAAAGGGGACATTGAAACGAAGTATGCACTGAATGTTGTGAGAAGAGAACTGGTTTGCAAGTAATGTCGTTACCACCGATACAACAAGGCCAGCAGACTATGACGTAAACAGCTCGTGACGTCACCAAGAGAGGCCAGTATTTTATTTTATCGCTTGTCGACTAACGCGTCACTTCGTGTTAATTCATCGGTGATTCACGTATGTTTTTGAAACGATCCCGAATTCTTTTGTTGTTTATTCATCAAAATAATTGGCGGAAAAATTACTGTTTGGTGAAATATTTTGTGTTGTGATCGGCGAAATAACAATGCCTTTCAAGTGTTGTGTTCCCTTTTGTCAGGGGAATTATGTGGGTGGTTCAAAAGTTCATGCTTTTAGTTTCCCGTTGGACGAGGAGCTATCGAAAATGAGGGTATATGCAATTCACCGCGAGGATTTTACTCCATCTAAGTTCAGTAGTAAACAGAGCTTAATTTATAATGATGAATTAATAATAGAAGACTATTACTCTCTCATAAAAAGTATAAGTAGAGGAAAAATAGAAAAGATTTGATTGTGCAGTTAGTTTTGTATTCGTATATTATAGTCAACAAAATCATCTCTGAATTCGAGGAAATTTTCTTCATAATAAACGGGCATTTTTAATTCTCATTCTCAAATTTCTTTCTGAAAACGGTCATTTGCCTCGTGGCAATGAATGCAGAATTCATTCCAATGATCGAATTGCAACTATCATATTAACATGAACTACAAACACTCTACTTAAAAAGGTAAAACTGCATTTATCATGAAGATATTTGACTAAAAAGTTCCAAATTTCACCTTCTTTTTCACCTGTCTTCTGGATGGCATTTAGAACAAATTTCCCTTCTTTTTTCATCATATTGGACAATTTATATATAATTCAACTATAAATATGATTTTCTTGAGATTAATCCATATTTAGTGAAAAGAAGGAAGAATATCATTCAAAATAATGGCGTGTGTAATGTCATTCGAAAGCAATCTATTGACATTTGACATCTCGTATTTTGATTGACTATTGATTAAATGTTCGTCATCTGGAATGCTTGTTCACTGAATAGGAAAAACTCTCCATAAAAATCATATTTCCTGTTGAATTTTCTATATAAAAATGTGCCATCGAAGTACATCATGAGTATATAAAGTGTCCAATGACAAAATAAGAGCAAATAGCTTCAAATGCCCCCAACACAAGGGAAGAAAGAAGGCGAAATTTCGAACTTATTCTGTAAATATCTCAATAAATAGTGGTTTGTTCACATTTTCATCATAAAATTCGGTTTATCAGACAAAAATACGTGAGTACCGACAAAAATTTTCAAAAAAAAAACCGTCGCATGATAAATGCAGTTTTACCCTTAAAAATTACGGTTTCAAGTGTAACGATCCACTTGGGTGAAAAATCCAACAACAGAAAATTGAAAACACTCACTGGTTATTTTTTCAGGTAATAGGGTAATTGTAACAAACGGCATGTCAATCAAAATAAAATACATTTTCCACAATTTTCTTCCGATCAATCTCACGATAAGTTTATGTTCTGCGGGCCCTGTATAAGTAGGTGTGAAGTTTACTTTCACGACAACTTTTGCCAATATATTTAATTCGAATGGGTTGCTGTAGATGGATATTTGTATTTTATCCTGGTTTTTGCTTTAAAACTTCGTTTTTCCATAATAAAATCGAATGGGGTGCGAAGAAGGGCTCAGTTGACGACTGGCATCCTTTTTTAACCGGAAGCCCTTCAAAAAGCAGCAAAATCGGCTCAATGGTGATCTAAAACTAAAATCGAAATACGCGGTCGCCTTATAGCGCTATAAGCGCTTGTCATTTCGAGCCGCTGGTTAGGCCTGACTAAGTGACGTCACCCACGGAGCATGCAGGCCTTGTTGTATCGGTGGTAACGGTAATGTCCGCGTCGGTAATTTTTAGCTTCAAAAACAAGAAACAAGTTAAATTGTTGAAATGTTCATGAACATAGGATACAGTTTTTGAAAAAAACCATAGTTTTGATGATAAACAAGTTGTTTAAATGGCTTTATTCTCAACGAAATCTCGACGTGAATGATCCTGTACACTTACTTCTTCTCTGTCATTACTAATCTTCCTCTTCTTGAGCTTTTTAGGAAAACTCCTTCTGACAGGAACAGTTTTCGTTTCTTTAGGGGTGCTGGTGTTGGAAGGTTCCTTGGTAACTTCCTCGTAAACAGGTTCCAGCAAGTCCAACGGATCCAGGAACAAGCTGCTAGGTTCTTTGGGTGCAATCTCGACTTTTTCGGCTCTCTTCGCAGTTCTTCGTGAAACTCCGGCCCTCGAGCCTTTAGCGTTCCTTGACAGATTGGGCATTTCAGTGTGTTGCGTCACTTTTGACAGTTTGGCGCTCTTCAACACCGGCATATCAGGTGGAGGGGTGACCTGATTTCTCTTCTTATCTTTCACCTCTTTCACTTCCTCCTTCTTCTTCACCTCCTCTTTCTTCTTCACCTCTCTTTCTTCCTTCTTCCTTGTTTCTTCTTTCTTTCTCGGGTCTTTTTCTTCCTTTTTCTTCACTTCTTCCTCGTCTTTCTTTTCCTCCTTTATGAAATCTTGCGGTTCTGTTTTCACTGCTGGATCAGGTGCTGGGTTCTCAGTAAGGCCCTTTATCTGGAACCATATGTACAGGGTGCTGGATTATGTATAATCTCAGGCAATTTGGAATATCAATAATGAAAAAAATATACAGGGTGTTGCGAAATTCGACCGACAACGCTTGACAGGTGAATACACGCTTGATTTCATAATCACTGAGATAGGGACATACGGTCTTCAAGCGTTCAGCTCTCGAGATACAGGGCGTTAAAGTTGAGAAATAAAAATAGTTATTTCGCAATATCTCAAGAATAATTGAATATAATGCATTCAACTTCGGTATATGGTTTCATCTTTGAACGGGTCATTTTTTGACCAGGAAGCCATTCCGGACATTTCATCCAGTGGTGCCCTACAAGGGGTTGTGGCAATTTTTTCCAATTCCCCGAATTCATTGTTCAATTTTGTTGAAAAAATACATGACCTTCGACTGAGCTGAAATTAACAGTTTCTGAGATATTCGACCCAAAATAGAAGATTGAAATTTCATCAGTGGCGTAGAAAATACACACACTGGCAGAATTAAGGGAACGGGCAAAATTTACACTAAGTTTGACATCAATTTTCTTTCGAACCAATCGCTCGATTCAAATTTTTTTCTTCACAAAATGTAGCTTCATTCTTCACGAATACATCTGAGAAATAATTACCTTCAAACGATGAGTCTTTCCATCATATATGGGGGTGTAAAGAAAGTACGGATTTTTCGGTATTTTTTTAGACATCCTGTGGACTGAACCACTGATAATTGAAACGATTTCCCAACACCAAATTGAAGCCCAATCTATTCCGAATATTGTCGTTTTTTATTCATCTTGATATCTCAATTATTCAAGAAAATACAGAGTTTCAAAGGAAAGGTGGATATTGGTATCAATTTTACACCTCAAAACTCAAATTGGATCTGAAAATGTGTCGTTTCTTGACTAACCTAACCTAACCATGACTAAACCTCTGCCATAGGAGACAGAAGCAGTAAAATCAAATTGTTCATTTTGTTCACCTCGGCGATATAGTATTTCCCTGCCATCTATTGAATTGGTGCAGATGCGGCTCTCATATGTTAAAAGAACAATGACCCACTGGTCATTTTCAATTAATGCTACAGGCCTCGTCACATCATTAGGAGTCAAATCAAATTCATGAATTGTGAATCGCTTGACTTTGACAATAATTAATGACATTAACAAAATAGCCAACGTTGATTAACAAAAATAGCATTTCACCAAAAGAACATTGGTAGCAACTTTTATTTTAACTGCATATTCATGAGAGTATTCGTATATATGTGTCTTTAAACAGTAAACCGATAGGTAAAACTGTGAACAATTCTCATCTTGAAGTAAAAATCCTCACAGAAACAAGTTGAAAAACGACACGTTTTCCCCAGTTCGAGTTTCGAGGTGGTAAAATTAATACCAATATCCACCTCTTCTTTGAAACTCTATATTTTCTTGGATAATTGGGATATCAAGATGAATAAAAAACTAAAATATTCGGGATAGATTGGGCTATAAATTGGTGTTGGAAAATCGTTTCAATTATCAGTGGTTCACTCCACAGGATGTCTTAAAGAATACCGAAAAATCCGTACTTTCTTTACACGACTGTATATTATGATATAAAGGCGAATCGTTTGGAGGTGGTTATTTCTCAGATGTATTCGTGAAGAATGAAGCTACAATTCGTGAAAAACACATTTGAATCGAGTGATCGGTTCGAGAGAAAATTTATGTCAAACTTAGTGTAAATTTTACCCGTTCCCCTAATTGTGCCATTGTGTGTGTATGTGAGGAAAAATTATCACAACCCTCTGTAGCGTACCTCGGGATAAAATTCTCGGAATGTCTTTCTGTTCAAAAAATTAACCATTGAAAGATGAAACCATACCGAATTTGAATGCATTATATTCAATTTTTCTTGAATTATTGCGAAAAAACTATTTTAATTTCCCAACTTCAACGCCCTGTATCTCGAGAACTGAACACTTGAAGACCAAATGTCCCTATCTCAGTGATTATGAAATCACGAGGACTATCACCTGTCAATCGTTGTCGGTCGAATTTCGCAACACCCTGTATACAGTGTATCCCACTTACCATGCTCACCATGGGTATCTTTTTAACGGTGAGAGATACGAAGTCGGTTAAATGACACCAAATGTGGAATTTGTCAAGGCCAACTATAATGTGAAGAACTATTTTGATAAAATCTATTCGTTTTTGTTTTATACGCAAAAAACAGATTTTCATCATTTTCATGTCTCCTCCGTAACTTCTTTATTTATGAAAATATTCAAATAGGAATTTTACATTCTCATGGCAGTTTTTCAAAGTGATTTCGAAAAAAATATGAAATTCATACCAACTCTTCTAGAATTTGAGATATCAGCACCAACTTTAGTTTTTCAAATGTAGGTCATAGCTCACTATGACTCAGTTACAAATAACTTTTTTTTCTCTTACAGATGATATGTCGCAGTAATAGTTTTGTGTTGATAACAACGGAGTTATCGTCATTTATACAAAAACAAGAAATTATTTGGAAGCCGCCATCTTGAATTTATAAATTTCAACAAAAAAATCATGATCTCCGACCTCAAAAACCCCCACTTACCAATTTTGAATGGAATCGGACCAAATCTTGTCCGCCATCTTGGAGCAGCCATTTTTTTCAATTTCAACAAAAATTCCATAATGGATTGTCACCGAAATTATGAACACCTGCCAAATTTCAAGTTAATCGGAGTTACAGAATTTTTGTTGAAATTAAAAAAAAATTGCTGCTCCAAGATGGCGGACAAGATTTGGTCCGATTCCATTCAAAATTGGAAAGTGGGGGTTTTTGAGGTCGGAGATCATGATTTTTTTGTTGAAATTTATAAATTCAAGATGTCGGCTTCCCAAAAATTTTTTGTTTTTGTATAAATGACGATAACTCCGTTGTTATCAACACAAAACTATTACTGCGACATATCATCTGTAAGAGAAAAAAAAGTTATTTGTAACTAAGTCATAGTGAGCTATGACCTACATTTGAAAAACTAAAGTTGCTGCTGATATCTCAAATTCTAGAAGAGTTGGTATAAATTTCATATTTTTTTCGAAATCACTTTGAAAAACTGCCATGAGAATGTGAAATTCCTATTTGAATATTTTCATAAATAAAGAAGTTACGGAGGAGACATGGAAATGATCGAAATATGTTTTTTGCGTATAAAACAAAAAGGAATAGATTTTATCAAAATATTTTTTCACATTATAGTTGGCCTCGACAAACTCCACATTTGGTGTCATTTAACCGACCTCGTATCTCTCACCGTTAAAAAGATACCCATGGTGAGCATGGTAAGTGGGACACACTGTATAACTTTCCAGAGGTAATAGAGGGTTCATATTATGTTCTAGAGACCACCTGCTACACACGTCTTACTTTCAGATTCTCTGCAGCTGCTAAGAGTTCTTGCAGTTTGGTTTGAAGAATGTGGACTTCTCCAGCGTACATGTAATCGCACAGGGATTTCAGGATCCAGAATGGGATATCCTTCATGAAGAGCACTGGGTGTTGATAGGGGCTGATACTGGCAAGAACTTCTTCAAAATAGGTGCTACAGGATGATAGAATAACCTGAAAAAAAAAACTAACAATGAAAGAATCAGGATAATAACTCATTGTCTTTCTCTATTGCAACCGCCACCTCAGTGGTGTACTAAATATTCATGAAAGAGGTGAAATTAAAAAAAATATGGAAAATTGGATTTAGATAGAAAATCGCAATTGCGACTTCAGAGACGTTTTCAATAATCCCAATTTAGATCATGGAAACCATCCATACTACAAGGTGGGCCAATAGAAGTCATCCGATGTTGTTTTTCTAAATGAAAAGCTCCGATTCTGTTTTGTGATTATGTTTATTTCAACCTTTAGAATTTTATTGGTCAAGCCGAGAAGATGATATCGGCCAAATGGGCGCCGTCACAATTGATTGCTATACTAGCTCGTTTTATGGCATTTTTCATCACTTCGGCGAGATCTTCGGACGACAGATTCTGGCACTCGTGTCGAATGTTGTGCTTGACGGCTTCCAGGGTCTCGGGCTTGTTCACGTAAACACAGAACTTCAAAAACAAACACCAAAATGGTCTGGAACGGTTAAATCGGAAGATCTTGCGGGACAGTGCAAATCGCCAAAACGAGAGATGAGGCGATCCGGGAAGCGATTTTACTAAATATAACCTATTGCAGCACAAGACACGCCCCCTACTACGGCATTGCAAAATATAATCGAGCCCAGCACAATCCTGCAAAATCTAATCTTTGACAGCACAACGTAGCTGATTCATATAAATAAATCGATTGAAAAATTAGCACATACCACGTTATATCTCATCTTCAAAGTACTTTACTTAGGCAAAACTCCCCAATCCCTGATTGCAATATTTTTGAGGAAGGAAAACCGAATGGAGTGTAGAAACACATTGATTAATAATATATTTCAAAAGTTGAGTTCTTCAACAAAATTGAATAAAATGAGACTGTTTATCCTAAACGCACTAACCTATTTGACTTCAAATATTTTATGAAGAAGGAAAACCAGAATGAAGTAAAAAAACATTGGTGAAAAAAAAAAGTTGCAAAAAAAAAGTTCGAGTTCACAGCGATTCGAACCATGAACCTTCAGACTGAGAGTCGACAGCGCAAACCAGTAGAACATTTGGGTGTATGAATTTACTGCGTACAAGAGATTGACAACGAGAAAGCTTCAGTTCTTGCGTTGGAGCATGACGTATTATGGTGGGCGTGGTTTGTGCTGCAATAGTTTATATTTAGTAAAATCGCATCCGGGAACGCCGCCTTCAGAATATCGGTTATGGCTCGCGCAGTGTGTGCCGTTGCTCCGTCCTGTTGGAACCACATGCCCTCCAGTCCTGATTCGTTCAATTGCAGCAGAAAAAACTCGGTTAATATGGCCCTATAGCGCGCACCGTCCACTGTTGTCGTTTGACCAGCGGCGTCGTCGAAAAAATGGCCCGATGACTCCTCCAGAGTGAACAGCGCACCATGCAGTCACTTTGAGCGGGTGTAATGGCTCCTTGTGCATCACTCATAGATTTTTGGTGGCCCAGAAGCGATAGTTCTGCTTTTCCACGTCCCCGCTGAGGTGGAAATGAGCCTCGTCGCTCATTATGATTTTGGTCGAAAAATCGTCCACGAGATTGAGGATGGCTTGGCTTGGATTATTCCGCGTTCTTGGGGAGTGTATCGCTCCATGGCTTGTTCACTTGTATTCTACATCTGTCTAGTTCACGAATGTCGAAACAGATTTGACGTTGACCGCCATTTGCAAAAATAAGAGCTACTTCCAATAGGGTGATTTCTTTTGGCCCACCTAGTATAAGTGGACCAGTATTTTTCAAAAGGAGAAAAACCTCGACTCGAAGCCGGCGACCACCATATTTGATATAAAAAAAAAAAACAAAAAAAATCAATGTGTGTGACTATAGTTTCGGCTCTATGGCCATCTTCAGACACAATGCAACAGAAAGTACCTAGAAAATTACCAAGTTCTTAAATCTCAAACAAAATGGTAGCTGAGAAAGAATCCACATACCTCTTGTAGAAAATGAAAAAGAGGTAAGTCAACTCCTCCTTAGCTACCATGTTGTTTTGGATTTGAGAACTTTGTAATTTTCTAGGTACTCTCTGTTGCATTGTGTCTGAAGATGGCCGAAACTATGATAACACACGTAGATTTTGTTATATTAAATATTGTGGTCGACAGACTTTGTGTCACGTTGTTTCTCCTTTTGGAATCCCAATTTAGTTTTGATGGTATCAAAATAGAAAACATGAAGAATTTCATGTAGATACAAAAGTACAATGGCGACTTCATGGGCGTGTGTCAAAATCAGAAAAATACTGTGAAATTGGACGTAGAATCACAATGGCAACTTCAGTGTCGTACCAATGTTTTTGAAGGGTTCAAAGTTGAAAAAAATAGTAAAATTGGCTGTAGGCGAGTAGCGATCCGATTTTAGGAGCGTATATTTCATTTTCTGACGGGCCGATATTGGCGTATCCATTTTTTTAGGTCGAAATTGGAAAAATATCTCAAAATTGGATGTTGATAGAAAATCGCAACCAGGACTTCAGTGGCATACTGTTTTTTTAAGGAGACAGAATTGAGAAAAAGAATTGGAAAATTGGTTTTGGGTAGAAAATAGCAATCGGGATTTCAGAAGCGTAGACACCTTTTCTTCCGAAGGGGCTAAAATCAAAACCATTTCAAAACGCAACGGAAATCGTAATCGCCAAAATTAAAATGGCCAACATTTGAAGAATTGATGAAATATCGGAAATTGAAGGAATCGAATGATCAGTGGCGTACCCATTGTTTTCTGTGGGTTTCAATACTGGAAAAAAGTCAATCGGGACACGAATCAGGGGCACATAAAATTTTAAAACTGAAGGGCTTTGATTATCAGGGGCGTACCTATTTTTTTCTGATGGGTTCATTATAAGAAAATATTGTAAAATTGGTTGTAGATGGAAAATTGCAGTAACAATTTCACGGGCGTACCGTTTTTTTTTGTTAGGAGTCAAATTTAAAAAACAATTCAAAGTCGGCCCTAGCGTCGTAATAACAAATTGCTCACTCAGCAACAAGTGATGACCGTTGCACTCGAGGCTGACCTCCTCCACAAGGAGGGGAGAAAATTGGGAGTAGATATAAATTAGCAATCGCGACGCGGATCAGGGGCTCACCCAATTTATTCTAAGGGGACCAACATCCGGAAAATTGAAAAATTATCCATAAAGTTAAGTGTTTGTATAATCTGGAGCGTGACCATTTTTATTTCTGATTCTGAGGGTGTCAAAATTGAGAAAATTGAAAAATTGTGTGTGCAATCGCGATTGAAGGGGCATACCTGAGGGGTCAAACATTTGAAAAATTGAGAAAAACCGGCAATTGAAGGGCTAGGATGATCAGGAGCATATTCATCTTCTTTCTGAGTCAAAATTGGAAAACTATTATAGAATTGCATGAAGATAAAAAAAATCGTGATAAAAATTCCAGGGGCGTACCAATTTTTTTCTGAGGGGGTCAAAATTGCAAAACAATAAGAAAATTGGGTGCAGATAGACAATAGGAATCGAGGCGCGAATCAGGGGCGCACCCATTTTTTTAGAGGGTCAAAATTGAAATAAATTGGGAAATAGGGTGTAAATAGAAATTAGCAATCGGGACACGAATCAGGGGCGCATCAATATTTCTTTGGGAGTACAGCATTCGAAAAATGGAAGAAATATCGGAAACTGACGGGCTTGGATGATCAGCGGCGTACCCATTTTTTCTGATGGGTTCAAGATTGCAGAAATATTGTAAACTTTTATATTGATGAATATATTGCAACTTCAGGGGCGTACCGATAATTTTTTTAAGGGGTCAAAATTGAGAAAAAATTTGAAAAATTCCCAATTAAATTCCTCACCCTGTGACATTTCAAAAATTGAGAAAAATTGGCAATTGAAGGGCTTGGATGATCAGGAGCATATGCATTTGCTTTCTGAGTCAAAATAGGGAAACTATTATGAAATTGAGAGATAAGAAAAATAACGCAATTACAACTTCAGGGACGTACCAATTTTTTTCTGAGGGAGGTCAAAATTGCAAAAAAAGTGAAAATTGGATGCAGATAGAAAATAGGAATCGAGACGTGAATCAGGGGCGCACCCATTTTTTCAGAGGGTAAAAATTGAAATAAATTGGGAAATAGGGTGTAAATAGAAATTAGCAATCTGAACACGAATCAGGGGCGCATCAATTTTTCTTTGGGGATACAGAATTCAAAAAATGGAATAAATATCGGAAACTGAAGGGCTTAGATGATCAGGGGCGTACCCATTTTTTCTGATGGGTTCAAGATTGCAATTGTAAAATTGGATGTTGATGAAGAAATTGCAACTTCAGGGGCGTACCGAATTTTTTTTTTCAAAGGGTCAAAATTGAGAAAAAAATTTGAAAAAATCCCAATTAAATTCCTCACCCTGTGTGTGTGTAATCGCTTTTTAGGGGGCGAAGATTAAAAAAATGAAAAATCTGGAATTGAAGGGCTTGGATGATCAGGAGCATAATCATCTTCTTTCTGGGTCAAAATTGGAAAACTATTAAAGAATTGGATGCAGATAAAAAAAATCGCAATAACTCCAGGGGCGTACCATTCTTTTTTCTGAGGGGGTCGAAATTGCAAAAAAAATGTGAAAATTGGGTACAGATCCATTTTTGGGCGCATCCATTTTTTCAAAGGGTCAAAATTGAAGTAAATCGGAAAATTGAGTGTAGATAGAAAATAGCAATCGGGATACGAATCATTGGCGCATCAATATTTTTTTGAGGGTACAGCGGTCGAAAAATTTAAGAAATATCTGAAACTGAAAGTCTTTGATGATCAGGGGCGTACTCAATTTTTTCTGATGGGTTCATGAATATCGAAAAAAAATTGGAGATGTGAATGTAGATATTTACTCGTAAAATAGCACTCGCGACGCAAATCAGGGAGGTACCAAAAAATCAGAGAAATATTGCAAACTTGGATGTAGAGTCCCAATGGCAACTTCAGTGTTGTACCAATGCTTTTGAAGAGATCAATGTTGAAAAAAAAAAAGTAGAAATGGTCGTAGATAGCAAGTAGCAATCCCATTTTAGTTGCGTATATTTTATTTTCTGAAGGTGAAAGATGAAAAATTGAAGAAATATCGAGATTGAATAGATTCAATGATCAGGTGCGTACCCATTTTTTCTGATGGGGTCAAGATTGCAAAAATATTGTAAAATTGGACGTTGGCAAGGAAATTGCAACTCCAGGGGCGTACCCAAAAAAATTTTTAAGAGGTCAAAATATGGAAGAAAAAAAAAACTGAAAAAATCCCAATTAAATTCCTCACCCAATTTATTCTAAGGGGACTAACATCCGGAAAATTGAAAAATTATCCATAAAGTTAAGTGTTTTTATGATCTGGGGCGTGACCATTTTTATTTCTGAGGGTGTCAAAATTGAGAAAATTGGAGAATTGTGTGTGCAATCGCGATTTAAGGGGCATACCTGAGGGGGCAAACATTTGAAAAATTGAGAAAAATCGGCAATTGAAGGGCTTGGATGATCAGGAGCATATTCATCTTCTTTCTGAGTCAAAATTGGAAAACTATGATAAAATTGGATGAAGATTGAAAAAAGCGATAAAAATTCCAGGGGCGTACCAATTTTTTTCTGAGGGGGTCAAAATTGCAAAACAATAAGAAAATTGGGTGCAGATAGACAATAGGAATCGAGGCGCGAATCAGGGGCGCACCCATTTTTTCAGAGGGTCAAAATTGAAATAAATTGGGAAATGGAGTGTAAATAGAAATTAGCAATCGGGACACGAATCAGGGGCGCATCAATATTTCTTTAGGGGTACAGCATCTAAAAAATGGAAGAAATATCGGAAACTGAAGGGCTTTGATGATCAGGGGCGTACCCATTTTTTCTGATGGGTTCAAGATTGCAAAAATATTGTAAACTTCTATATTGATAAATATATTGCAACTTCAGGGGCGTACCGATAATTTTTTTAAGGGGTCAAAATTGACCTCCCCCACAACGTGGGGCAAAAATTGGGAGTAGATATAAATTAGCAATCGCAACGCAGATCAGGGGCTCACCCAATTTATTCTGAGGGGATCAACATCCGGAAAATTGAAAAATTATCCATGAAGTTAAGTGTTTGTATGATCTTGGACGGGACCATTTTTATTTCTGAGGGTGTCAAAATTGGGAAAATTGGAAAATTGTGTGTGCAATCGCTTTTTAGGGGGCAAAGATTAAAAAAATTGGGAAAAATCTGGAATTGAAGGGCTTGGATGATCAGGAGCATATTCATCTTCTTTTTGGGTCAAAATTGGAAAAATCGCAATAACTCCAGGGGCGTACCATTTTTTTTCTGAGGGGGTCAAAATTGAAAAAAAAAAGTGAAAATTGGGTACAGATCGACAATAGGAATCGAGACGCGAATCAGGGGCCATTTTTTTAAAGGGTCAAAATTGAAATAAATTGGAAAATTGGGTGTAGATAGAAAATAGCAATCGGGACACAAATCAGGGGCGTATCAATATTTCTTTGAGGGTACAGCAGTCGAAAAATTTAAGAACTATCTGAAACTGAAAGTCTTTGATGATCAGGGGCGTACTCATTTTTTTCTGATGGGTTCATGAATATTGAAAAAAAAATTGGAGAAGTGAATGTAGATATTCACTCGTAAAATAGCACTCGCGACACAAATCAGGGAGGTACCAAAAAATCAGAAAAATATTGCAAACTTGGATGTAGAGTCCCAATGGCAACTTCAGTGTTGTACCAATGCTTTTGAAGAGATCAATGTCGAAAAAAAAAAGTAGGAATGGCCGTAGATAGCAAGTATCAATCCCATTTTAGTAGCGTATATTTTATTTTTTGAAGGTGAAAGATGAAAAAAATTGATAGGGCCAACAATTGAAAAATTGAAGGAATATCGAGATTGAATGATCAGGAGCGTACCCATATTTTCTGATGGGTTCAAGATTGCAAAAATATTGTGAAATTGGACGTTGACAACAAAAATGAAACTTCAGGGGCGTACCGAAAAAAATTTTCAAGGGGTCAAAATTGAGAAAAAATTTGAAAAATTCCCAATTAAATTCCTCACCCTGTGACACTTCAAACTCTGCCCTTCGGCCACCAACGTCGCATCAACATACTGCTCCCGCAGCAACAAACCGGGAAAAGAAGTCTGCATGTTGGAGTGGTGGCCGTTCCACTTGAGGCTGATCTCCTCCACAATAGGCGGCGGCGTGGGGGGTGGCAAAGAGGCGGAAGGGGTTGGTTTGGAGTGCCGCGTGACCTTGAGCTTGGTGGGCGACAATGGCTGACTGTGCAGGACCGGCTCCAGGTCGGTGGTGGAGGGAGGCGCTTGGAGGCGCTGCTGCAGCGGCATGGAGTCTGGAAATAACGGGGGAGTGGGGGGTAGGGGGTTTATTTCGCCCTTCTCGATTTTTTTTTGCAAATGCGAATTCTCTATGTTTCAATTTTTTGTTGAAAATATGCTGCCATACTTCAAAAAACACCATTTGAATATCCTACAATTTTATGGAACGTTCAAGCAGCGTTCGGCGACAAACTCGTCTATCCAGTACTGAGTACTGACGTCATAATCCCTTTTCCTGTGTTGCCAGGTTTTTAATTTTAAGGAAATATCAAGTAGATTTTTTTTTTCAGAGGATTTTCATTTTTTATTATCTCTTTTTGGATGTTCAACAGATATAATTCAATGTTCGACGTGGCAAATAGCCAGGAAGTAGTTGTTTTCTGTTGAATATTCAGAATGATATGTGCATATCTTTATATGAAGGAGAATGCAAATGCTCTACTTCAGAAGATTTTGTTTTCAAATTCTGATCGTGTGTGTTCAATAGATGTAATTCAATATTCGGCAACAAATTAGGAAAATACGAGGGGTAAACCGCGGTCAGAATTGTGGACACCAAACTTCAATTTCACAAAGAATTCCAAGGAATTTCAGTTATTGTACATCAGAATTATACTGCACTTCACACAAGAGATTCCAAGAAACTTCAAGGAATTCCAGGAAATTTCAAGGAATTTCAAAAATCTAAGGAATTCCAAAGAAATCCAAGGAATTTCAAGGAAATCAAAGGAATTCCAAAGTAATCCAAAGAATTCCAAGGAAATCTGTACTTCTGCACTTCACCCAAGGAATTTCGAGGAATTTCAAGGAAATCCAAAGAATTCCAATAAAATCCAAGGAATTCCAAGGAAATTCGAGGAATTCCAAGAAAATCCAAAGAATTCCAAGGAAATTCAAGGAATTCCAAGGAAATCTGTGAATTTCAAGGAATTCCAGTAGTTTTTGGACTAGGAATATACCGCACTTCACCCAAGGATTTCCAAGGAAATCCAAGGAATTCCAAGAAAATCCAAGGAGTTCCAAGGAAATCCAAAGAATTCCAAGGAAATCTGGGAATTTCAAGGAATTTTAGTTGTTCCGTTCCATGAAATTCCAGGGAATTCCAAGGAAATCCAAGGAATTCTGAGAAAATCCAGGAAATTCCAAGGAATTCGGGTTGTTTGTACACCAGAATTCCACCGCGGTTTACCCCTTGAGAATATACAGGGTGTTTCATAATTGAATGCTGATCCTTAAGGGCGATAATCCTTGGATGATTTCAGAGAGAAAAGTTGATATCAACATATGTCCTAAACCTCTTAGTTATTGAGCTACAGGGTGATGAAATTTCAAGAAAAAAATGAGTTTTTCATCATAATTTTTCATCACTCTCAGATATTGTTATGATATTCTGTATACACCTTTTTATCATTAGGGAGCATTTTTTTACGTGAAAGATATTTGAAAATTCCCACCAGTGGCGTCCGTACGGGGTTTGAACTGACAATTTTTGAAGAAAAAAATAGTACGCCACTGATTTTTCTGAGAACCAGATTTTTTTTCCAATTCTTATTCATTTTGGAGCATATTTGGTTCCTAGACTTACTTTCATACAACGTACCGTTTTCGCGTAAAAAAATAAAAACCAAATAATTTTGTTCCTTCAGTTCCGAGGGGTGGATCACTTGAGAAAAATTTGTACACGTATTTAAAATACTCTCGATTTAGGAGTATTTATCGTATTTAAATCTATTTAAGATAGTATTTAGTGTATTTATGTAAATATTATTGTATTTAAGATATTTAAAGGTAATTAACAGTATTTAAATATATTTATGCCTATTTGAAAGTATTTGACCGTATTTAAAATTATTTGAGCGTATTTAAATGTATTTATTGAAAAAATGTTGTCTCAGTATACCAAATAAATTGTATTACCTTGGTGGACTCTTCATCAACGTCGAGACAAAACCGCTGAAGCTACGATTGTGAAAATTGGAAATAGGTTATCTTTTGTTATATAGGCAAATTTCCACTATGAAGGGGTAAAATGGGTTTTTTTTAGTTAAAATATTTTGAAATATTTTTTATGAAAATAAATACACACCGAACTTAAAAATCCACCCTTGAAAGTAGTCTAAAGACATAAAATGGATGTTTGAAGTTTGTATGGTTAAAAATTAGGTAGATGCACTCATTACATTCGCACGAGTATTCGTCCTCTATCTATACCACACAATATTACCTCGGAGACTGAAGTACCTACATACCTACGTTTGAAAATAATCATGACGAATTGGTCGAAAATTAGGTAATTTTCACTTATAATATCACGAGAGCTTCAATTATTTCCAGAAATTTTTTCGAGAACACGAATATTTTGAAAATTCTCCCGAGACGGAGACGAGAACACGAATTTTCAAAATATTCATGTTCGAGAAAAAATTCCCGGATATTAATTGAAGCTAAAGTGGTATTCGGTAAGAAAATTTTTATTTATTGACTCATAGAATCAACTCGAAATAATCTGAAGTTGAATATAAATGTCATTTAACCTATAAACGTAAAAAAAATCCTGTGTAATTTCATGCTCCGTCCCCCAAGGAGGAGGAAATAATTTTAAACAAATTTGTTCAGTTGCTTTGGTAACGATAGGAAATACAGGCTTCAAATTGATCGAAAATGTTTGTTGTGAAATTTTCGGAAGAATTCGGTGTTCGGGCAATTAGTTAGTTTCTCATAAACATGTGATCTAGGATTCTCAGTGTATACCTTCAAAATTATGTTAATTCATTTATGAATTATGAACAAAACCACTCAAAACAAGTGGCAGTAATAACACAAGAAATTTTCGTGCTGCAATAGAAGTCAGTAACGGTCAGTAACATGTAAAATCTTGTTTGAATATTTCACACCTGATTTCGCAGATTCTGGACCGTGTCTGAGCCGTGCTTTGAATTATACTGTAACGCGCATGCTTCATAACTATTTAAAACTATCTAAATATATTTAAATCTACCTTATTGTATTTAATTGTATCTTGGGTATTTGAGACTATCTGAATATATTTAAATCTATCTAATTGTATTTAATTATATTTAAGTGTATATAAGGTAATTAAAAATATTTAAATATATCTTGCATGTATTTAATGTATTTAAAGGGTATTTATAAATACTTTCTACAAAAATGTACACGTATTTGGAGGAATTTAAATATATTTAATTATATCTAGGGGTATCTAAAACTATCTAAATATATTTAAATCTATCTTATTGTATTTAATTATATTTAAGTGTATCTAATGTGATTAAAAATATTTAAATGTATCTTGAATGTATTTAAGGTATTTAAAGGGTATTTATAAATACTTTTTACAAAAATGTACACGTATTTATGGAAGTGATCCACCCCTCGTTCAGTTCTTGGATATTGTTTTTGGTAATTCAGTAGACACCCACTATAAGTGAAAACACATTTTGTTTTGGGGCGAAAATCAAACTTTTACTTTGACCAGTGATGTCCTCGTAGACCTGATATTGAATGTTTTGTTTAAAAAAACGCTGTACGCTTCTGATTTCAACACCCTGTAGCTCAAAAACTGAGAGGTTCAGGACATATGTTGATATGAACTTCTCTCCTTAAAATCATCCAAGGATCATCGCCCTTTAGGATCAGCATTCAATTATGAAACACCCTGTATAAGGATAGGTACACTGTAAGTTAATAGATGAGAAAAATACCTAAAGCATTCTTGACTCCACCAGCCTTCACAATGTTTTTCGAAGTTTTCTTGCCTTTGACTGCCGCTGGTTGCGAGGCTGGTTGCTCCTCTGGAGTTTCAACTGGCCCCGGTTTTTCCGGGGGTTTTTCCAGAATATTCACAATGCCGGCGTTCTTTATAACTCGCCGCCATCTTCTGATGTTAGATTCGTTCACGCTGAATTTACTTTTAGCCTTACCAGTGCCGTATTGTTCGGCGTAAAGAGCAACGATTTTTTTGAACTCGGGATCGTATATGGTACATTGCCTGCGTTGCAGCAGGTTCTGGTTGGGCCTGACTGTGGCTTTGCTCCTCATTTTGCCCATTTTGACTTTTGTTCGGAATGTTTTGTCCCTAAAGTTAGGGTACCTTGATGCAAACTGACGTATTTCTCATCTAACAGGGTACGGACAGATCATAGCTCCTTTCTCTTTTAATCATCTAGTGACTTTGGTTTCGTGTATTGGCGTCCCTGACATGACATTGCTGACACGTCACATTCATAGGCGTTGAAAGAGATCTTACAAAATTTTAATATCATACTTTATCTTAATATGACATTATTCAATTCTGTTTTGGAAGGATGGTAAAATGTGCTGCATTAGGCTGTATCAATCAGTTGGATGGCAAATTTAAATTTGTTAGCTTTCCATCAAATGCAAATGAACTTAGAACATGGAAAGTGGAGTGACCGAATGGGGAAAATTGGTAAATACATCAGCAAAATATTCCGAGGTGAAACTAATACGAAATCACATATTATACTTTCTCATTGTTCCTATAATTATCCAATCCACAAGTTTTTGAATGTATTTTAGTAGAATTAATTTACTGATAGGTACTGCCTAAGAACAGTGCCATTCGGTAAAACGTATTAAACTTTCAGAAAAATTTGCTCACTGCCTCAGAAAGATTATGTTGTTGTTGAAAAATCAAAAACTCGAGAATTATCATCATTTGGATATAATATGTAGAATTGAATGAGAAATTACATGTGGAGGTTACGAATGATACGCCAATGCCCTCAATATAACCTAAAAAACAACAAATGTCAGAAATCTAGTGTTTATCCCCAGAAATGAATGAGGATGGAACTATATAACTCTTTCACAAACACTTTAGAGTGAGAGGAGACGAGGATTTGTCCGTACCTAGTTAAGATGACAAATACGTCAATTTACATCATACTTAAAGTTATGTCCAGTTCTAGTTTTCCATTTTTGTTTTGTTTTGTTACGTTTGCATGACGTTTTGATGGATGAGCACACATTTTGGGTGTGGTGACCTAGTCTTTTTTACCGCATGGTGTGCACGAAAACCGTGAGCTAAAATCTAATAATTTTCCCGTGTATAATACAATATGTTTTTCAAGATATCACATTATGATTATATCAGGAAATTATCAACATGAAATTTGAAGTTGCAGGCACTTTCTGCCGTCCGAAGATAGTCCGGTGACTATATCGTACTGAAGTCTTAAGTGGGAAAATGAAAATTTTTATTTGACCTATTAACAATCTGAAAAAATTTACATAAACTAATTCGATGTCGAAATGAAAGAATCTGTGGTGAACATTTGGAAATTTTGGGAAATGGAGACGTAGTAGCCTACCGGAGTGCACCGATTGGCAATGAAATCGGAAAGCTGACTTTGAGCGCCGATATCTCGAAAACTATCCGTCCTATCGGGCTGATCGTGGTCTCATTCGATTCAGCGTGTCATTTTCTACTGGAAAAGCGATAATTCGCGTGAATTTCCGCCGTTTTCTGGCACTTTCTGCCGTCCGAAGATAGCTCGGTGACTATATCGTACTGAAGTCTCAGGTAGGAAAATGAAAATTTTTATTTGGCCGTTTAAAAATCTGAAAAAATTCAAATAGACTAATTCGATGTCGAAAAGAACGAATCTGTGGTGGAAATTTGGAAATTTTGGGAAATGGAGACGTAGTAGCCTACCGGAGTGCACCTATTGGCAATTAAATCGGAAAGCTGACTTTGAGCGTCGATATCTCGAAAACTATCTGTCCTATCGGGCTGATCGTGGTCTCATTCGATTCAGCGTGTCATTTTCTACTGGAAAAGCGATAATTCGCGTGAATTTCTGCCGTTTCCTGGCACTTTCTGCCGTCCGAAGATAGCTCGGTGACTATATCGTACTGAAGTCTCAGGTAGGAAAATGAAAATTTTTATTTGGCCTATTAAAAATCTGAAAAAATTCAAATAGACTAATTCGATGTCGAAAAGAACGAATCTGTGGTGGAAATTTGGAAATTTTGGGAAATGGAGACGTAGTAGCCTACCGGAGTGCACCTATTGGCAATTAAATCGGAAAGCTGACTTTGAGCGTCGATATCTCGAAAACTATCTGTCCTATCGGGCTGATCGTGGTCTCATTCGATTCAGCGTGTCATTTTCTACTGGAAAAGCGATAATTCGCGTGAATTTCCGCCGTTTTCTGGCACTTTCTGCCGTCCGAAGATAGCTCGGTGACTATATCGTACTGAAGTCTCAGGTAGGAAAATGAAAATTTTTATTTGGCCTATTAAAAATCTGAAAAAATTCAAATAGACTAATTCGATGTCGAAAAGAACGAATCTGTGGTGAAAATTAGGAAACTTTGAATAATTGAGACGTAGTAGCCTACCGGAGTGCACCTATTGGCAATTAAATCGGAAAGCTGACTTTGAGCGTCGATATCTCGAAAACTATCCGTCCTATCGGGCTGATCGTGGTCTCATTCGATTCAGCGTGTCATTTTCTACTGGAAAAGCGATAATTCGCGTGAATTTCCGCCGTTTTCTGGCACTTTCTGCCGTCCGAAGATAGCTCGGTGACTATATCGTACTGAAGTCTTAGGTAGGAAAATGAAAATTTTTATTTGGCCTATTAAAAATCTGAAAAAATTCAAATAGACTAATTCGATGTCGAAAAGAACGAATCTGTGGTGAAAAGTAGGAAATTTTGAATAATTGAGACGTAGTAGCCTACCGGAGTGCACCTATTGGCAATGAAATCGGAAAGCTGACTTTGAGCGTCGATATCTCGAAAACTATCCGTCCTATCGGGCTGATCGTGGTCTCATTCGATTCAGCGTGTCATTTTCTACTGGAAAAGCGATAATTCGCGTGAATTTCCGCCGTTTTCTGGCACTTTCTGCCGTCCGAAGATAGCTCGGTGACTATATCGTACTGAAGTCTCAGGTAGGAAAATGAAAATTTTTATTTGGCCTATTAAAAATCTGAAAAAATTCAAATAGACTAATTCGATGTCGAAAAGAACGAATCTGTGGTGAAAAGTAGGAAATTTTGAATAATTGAGACGTAGTAGCCTACCGGAGTGCACCTATTGGCAATGAAATCGGAAAGCTGACTTTGAGCGTCGATATCTCGAAAACTATCCGTCCTATCGGGCTGATCGTGGTCTCATTCGATTCAGCGTGTCATTTTCTACTGGAAAAGCGATAATTCGCGTGAATTTCCGCCGTTTTCTGGCACTTTCTGCCGTCCGAAGATAGCTCGGTGACTATATCGTACTGAAGTCTCAGGTAGGAAAATGAAAATTTTTATTTGGCCTATTAAAAATCTGAAAAAATTCAAATAGACTAATTCGATGTCGAAATGAACGAATCTGTGGTGGAAATTAGGAAATTTTGGGAAATGGAGACGTAGTAGCCTACCGGAGTGCACCTATTGGCAATGAAATCGGAAAGCTGCCTTTGAGCGTCGATATCTCGAAAACTATCTGTCCTATCGGGCTGATCGTGGTCTCATTCGATTCAGCGTGTCATTTTCTACTGGAAAAGCGATAATTCGCGTGAATTTCTGCCGTTTCCTGGCACTTTCTGCCGTCCGAAGATAGCTCGGTGACTATATCGTACTGAAGTCTTAGGTAGGAAAATGAAAATTTTAATTTGGCTTATTAAAAATCTGAAAAATTCAAATAGACTAATTCGATGTCGAAAAGAACGAATCTGTGGTGGAAATTTGGAAATTTTGGGAAATGGAGACGTAGTAGCCTACCGGAGTCCACCTATTGGCAATGAAATCGGAAAGCTGACTTTGAGCGTCGATATCTCGAAAACTATCTGTCCTATCGGGCTGATCGTAGTCTCATTCGATTCATAGTGTCATTTTCTACTGGAAAAGCGATAATTCGCGTGAATTTCCGCCGTTTTCTGGCACTTTCGGCCTTCCGAAGATAGCTCGGTGACTATATCGTACTGAAGTGTCAGGTAGGAAAATGAAAATTTTCATTTGGCCTATTAAAAATCTAAAAAAATTCAAATAGACTAATTCGATGTCGAAAACAACGAATCTGTGGTGAACAGTTGGAAATTTTGGGAAATGGAGACGTAGTAGCCTACCGGAGTGCACCGATTGGCAATGAAATCGGAAAGCTGACTTTGAGCGTCGATATCTCGAAAACTATCTGTCCTATCGGGCTGATCGTGGTCTCATTCGATTCAGCGTGTCATTTTCTACTGGAAAAGCGATAATTCGCGTGAATTTCTGCCGTTTCCTGGCACTTTCTGCCGTTTCCTGGCACTTTCTGCCGTCCGAAGATAGCTCGGTGACTATATCGTACTGAAGTCTTAGGTAGGAAAATGAAAATTTTAATTTGGCTTATTAAAAATCTGAAAAAATTCAAATAGACTAATTCGATGTCGAAAAGAACGAATCTGTGGTGGAAATTTGGAAATTTTGGGAAATGGAGACGTAGTAGCCTACCGGAGTCCACCTATTGGCAATTAAATCGGAAAGCTGACTTTGAGCGTCGATATCTCGAAAACTATCTGTCCTATCGGGCTGATCGTAGTCTCATTCGATTCAGCGTGTCATTTTCTACTGGAAAAGCGATAATTCGCGTGAATTTCCGCCGTTTTCTGGCACTTTCGGGCGTCCGAAGATAGCTCGGTGACTATATCGTACTGAAGTCTCAGGTAGGAAAATGAAAATTTTCATTTGGCCTATTAAAAATCTGAAAAAATTCAAATAGACTAATTCGATGTCGAAAACAACGAATCTGTGGTGAACATTTGGAAATTTTGGGAAATGGAGACGTAGTAGCCTACCGGAGTGCACCGATTGGCAATGAAATCGGAAAGCTGACTTTGAGCGCCGATATCTCGAAAACTATCCGTCCTATCGGGCTGATCGTGGTCTCATTCGATTCAGCGTGTCATTTTCTACTGGAAAAGCAATAACACGCTAAAATTCCTGCCGTATCCTGGCACTTTCAGCCGTTCGAAGATAGCTCGGTGACTATATCGTTCTGAAGTCTCAGGTGGGAGAATGAAAATCTTTATTTGGCCTATTAAAAATCTGAAATAATTCACATAGACTAATTCGATGTCGTAATAAACGAATCTGTGGTGAAAACTTGCAAATTTTGGAGAATGGAGACGTAGTAGCCTACCGGAGTGATATAAGCCCATTAATGAGCAATTTAGTATACTTGCTGCCCACCAATTTTCAAAACCCTATCTAGAATAATTCGAAAGTTACTCAAACCGTTTGAGTCAAACGGGCAAGAATGACGTCACATCAAACAAATTTGATCAAATTGTTGGACCGTGAGACACGGCCTTTACATGCATTTGGAACATATAACATTTCCTTATCACATGACGATCAAAATTTGCAGTCGGCTCTCCTACTATTCATTATATTGTTCAACTGAAAATACAGCTCCCTTGTTCCCTGACTTACTATTTATGTCCCACCATAGGGATTTCTCATTAATCTCAATAAGTATAATTCTCAAATCTTGAGATGAACAAACTGAATTTTAGCACCATGAAAATTAAGTGTGGGGGGGGATGTCATAGAAAAACTCGGCAAAAATGAAGCAAGTTAGGAGCCATGTTTACATTAAGAACTTTGATTTCTGAAAAATGACCATAACATTTATTGAATAGATTCCCACACTGGGACCAGTTTTCAGGCCATTAATGAAAGGTACATTATTTACTGGGAAGGACATTTTGCCTGGGAAATCACTAGTTGATTGGTTTATTCAAATGACCTTGACATTTGGCCAATCAAAATGGATTTAGGAAGGTTAGTTCGGGTAAGTTCTTATACAGAGTGACCCATTTGAAAGCGGGCCACCCCTGTATCTCACGTAATCGTTGGGTAAGGATCATGAAATTCGCTGGAGCGAGAGATATACCAAAAATGCACTCTATGACCAAGTGGGGTCATCTTCAGTGATATACACTGCTCGCCAACAGCCATGGAACCACCCCAATTTCCGGAAAATGATATTAGGAGTCAAAATAGGTTGAAAATCACTTCGGATTCGGAATCAGGACGCCCAATTCACTAACTCTTCATATTTTTCCTTGAAAATTTTCAGTTCTGAAAAATTAAATTTTGTCACACTTTTCACGGAAGCACCCTCGTATCTCACGTAATTGACTTCATCTTTGGACTTTCCGTTCCTCCTGCAAATTTTAGAACCCTACCACAATAATTACGTGAGATACGGGGGTGCTTCCATGAAAAGTGCGACAAAATTTAATGTTTCAGTACTGAAAATTTTCAAGGAAAAATATGAATAGTAAGTGAATTGGGCGTCCTGATTCCGAATCCGAAGTGATTTTCAACCTATTTTGACTCCTAATATCATTTTCAGGAAATTGGGGTGGTTCCATGGCTGTTGGCGAGCAGTGTATATCACTGAAGATGACCCCACTTGGTTATAGAGTGCATTTTTGGTATATCTCTCGCTCCAGCAAATTTCATGATCCTTACCCAACGATTACGTGAGATACAGGGGTGGCCCGCTTTCAAATGGGTCACTCTGTATACGAGACTTTCATAACTCTGATGAACTCCCGAAATACGTTGTAAGTTTCATAGGTAGATAGGTACACACCCTGTATGATAAATAATCGCTTGCTTACAAGGTTGAATTCGAATTTCCCGCCGCACAGTTAAAAACATCAATATTTTTGTGACAAGGAACAAACCTTCATCCTCGTCAATAGAAGTCAGCAGTTCCCAAACGTTTGCGTCGTCGGATTTCACTAAACAAAAAAATCGATCATCAAGACAGAAAACCTACAAGTCTTGAGTGATAATAACAAACCGATTTCGTCTGGCCCTGTAAGGATCTCCGATTCGTCGGACTTGTATAACAAGTGTTGGCATTTCTTCCATTTGTTTTTAACTTCTTGAAGTGTTCTCTTCTCCAAGCTGACTAGATTGACCTCTCTTGTAACGTCTAGCCAAGCTTCGTATCTATCACTCCGGAATATAGCCCTCTTGGAAAATTCACCGTAAAGAGTTTCGTAATTTTTACCAACTGTCCTCACTAGAACGTCCACTTCTTCCGGGGAAAAGTTACTTTTTCTCTGTTTCTTTAGCACTTCGGCCATTTTGGTAGCACTAGCACCGCGATCAAAATTAAAAATAGAATTCAAATCCGAATAGATATTCACACAGATGACCTGTCTAAGTGCAGCCGGTATATTCAGTATTCAATTTGACGATAATGCGATAATGATGTATTACCTAATGAAATAGGGCTAAACTTGGTGCTAGACGCGACAAGGGGACTAGGTCTTGAGTTGGGGCTTTATTTAACTGGTCTGTGGTTCCCAAACAATCACTAGTCAATTCCTAATCAATCAATATAATAAAAATAGACGCCGAGATGCGAGATCTATTATTTTGTGTCAGCTGCTACTAGGATTCAACTTTCAACATTATAAACAAGTGAATTGATCATACACATCCCAAACAAAACAAAATGGTTTGATTCTGGACATAACCTTACCAATATCAGAAGGATTTATATTTATTCCTGAAATCACTTCACAAAGTAGGTTTGAGTGATGAATGGTCACTACTAGGCATAGTACTTTTACGTGTTTTCATATTAAGAATGATAACATGACTGAATGACTGAAACCATCACAAGCACAAGAGCAAGAGCACAACATTGAAAATTCCCTGAAAATTCCGGAATCAAAACACTTCCAACAGAAATGACAGAAAACAGAGATGCAAAAACCAGAAAACAACAAAAAAAAAAACGAATCAACCAATCACAGAATCGAACGACGTATGACAAGTACTTGACTAGCAGTGTTGCCAGGTTTATTGATCTGTGCCACAACCGACTTTCATATCTTCAAGGAGTTGAAACCCGAAACTAGAAATCATCAATAAAAAAAACACCTGCATAATATGCATGTATAGTAATTAAACAGGTGGCATACAGATGAAGGGTGTATTGTGAATTTGTACTGAATCTTTGATTATATTACGCTTGAGTGGCGTAAGCGTAACATATCAATCAACGATAAAATCTCAATAATCTAACAGTGCGATATCACAAAGGTTTCATCGCTGCGATGTTTATACAAGCAAACACATCTGCGACATGATATTTCTGAGATGTCTCAATGAGGCAATACTGCGATATTACGAATGTTCCATAACTTTTTCATCCCAACTTACATATCGCAATAACTCTGCTTGAAATATATCGCTGTTATATCGCAGAGAACTCATCACAGCGACGTCGCATGGATGAAACTTGAGTGGGACAAAAAAACATCCCGTTGACATCGACGTTTATGCGACATAGAATGCGATATCACAGGGCACGATAATTGTTTCATCGCTGCGATATCTCTGTGATGAAACTGTGTTTGCTGGTCACTGGTAGGTCAGGTAGGTCCTAAGTTATCGTATAGTTTCTGATAATTATCGAAAATCTGGCAACGCTGAAGTCTTTTCATCATTTTATTTGCACCATCTTTGCAGTCTTCTGCACTATTTTGCACCGAATTCGATTGTCCTGTCAAGAGTGTCAAACTTCAAAATGTATTTTTTTATAACCTCTATACACATACCCAACTTTATACTTGTAAACAATTTTAAAATTGATAGAAATTCAAATAATTCAAATAGTGAAATTAGATATAAGGTGTTTGGCTCGAGCCATGGCGGAAACTCTACCTTCTGCTATTGAACAGGAACTATTAGGCATAAAAAACCTCCTCTGGGGTAATGATATCAAACATGACATCTTCAAAAGATGGTCACAAGGTAAATTACGTTCAAATACTAATTATATGAGGAGCCTTATTGTATCTTATTAATCTGCTAGAAAAGTACCTTGTCCATATTTTTTTCAGGTTTCTACTTTAGCACCAATGAAGGAAGTGCCCTTGAACAATCTGAAGGTGGCCCTTGTGCAATCATAGCCCCAGTGGAAGCATTCATATTAAAAAATCTCCTCCTAGAATTCAAAGATATAGCATTCAGAGAAAAAGTAAGAATTTCTTGTGAAATATTACATAACCTCAACAATCCTGTTTAGGTGGATCCTGATTTACAAAATATTTCTCTAGTCAACGCTCTCAGTGATATTCTGAGCCAGTGTAATAGCCAGAAGTATTACATAGTATATTTAGATAGTGAATGTGTTGAGCCAGTCAGTGCAGAATTGAAAGGAGAAAAAAGTGATAGTGTCACTGGAACACCAACTGCTTCATCAGAGGCTGACTCTTTTAGATTCCATGAAGAACTCAAAGTACAAAGCTTCCAGAGCATAGAGGAAGTCAATAAGTATTATCTAGATAACATCTCCAAACTGAAAGCAAAGTATGGTGTCCTCTTATTCTTATATTCTGTGATAGCTTCAAAGGTAAATTCACTATGATACTTCCAGCATCCCTACTTTGACTTTATAAAGGGAACTCACCTATCCTACCAATACTTTTGATCAAAATTATATTGAGAAGAAGAAAAAAAGCATAATTTTGTAGGGTTTAGCTCAAGTAAGAAGTGAGTCTGACACACAGGATCCTCTGATAGATGAGACTTATGGTTATGGTAGCCAAAATCTTATAAATTTAATGATAACTGGTAGAGCAACAACTTATGTCTGGGATCATGATCAGGATGTTGGAGGTTTAAGTAAGAATTTTGAAATAAAAAATAGTACCTATAATATTTTCAATTTCTTATCAGTGTTCAACAATTAGATAACACTGTGGAGTATTTTTTTCAGAATTGAAGGGTATTGAGAAACAAAGCCAAATAGGTTTTATAACCATAATGGAGTACCACAGATATTGTACAGTAGGTTCATTCTATAAAAACCCAATTCATCCAGTGTGGGTTATGGCATCTGATACACATTTGACAGGTGATTTAAAACTTGAAGAAGCTCAAGCTCTACATCTTTTCCAATTTTAGTTCAAAAATGGTCAATTAATTGCATTTCAAATTAGTCACTTCAATTATAAAGAGTATCAAATGTATTTCAAAATTATCAGTTCAATTTCAAAATGCATCAATTGTATTTCAAATTAGAAATTTCAAAAAACATACATTGTATTTCAAAATTATCAAATTAATTTCAAAAACTAACATCCAAAATGGTCATTTGTATATTCACGAATATCAAATATAATCTATCATTTGAATTTAAAAACTGAAAAAGCACACAGGCAAAGGTTAAATAGGTGATAGATAATATTTTCATTCACCCTGTTGTTGGACCCCTTTTCCTTCTAGTCATTGTATCATCATCAATAAAACAATAATGAATTGAAAGTAAAAAAAAACAACTTTTTAATAAAAAGCTGTTATTTAAATGCTCTAAAAAGAAGAAAATAAAATTTTTCTTAATAATTTCAACTATCAACTTATAACCTCATTATACACAATTTATATGATCATAAAAGTTTAAATATAAGCTTTTTATTAACATTTTTTTTTACTTTCAATTTATTTTTTAATTTTTAGTTATTGCTAGCTGGATTTTTCCATTTACTTTCAACAAGCCTTTTCATTTGATACCCATATTGTAGAAGTATATTGAAAATGACCATTCCGCCATCTTGGATGGTCTGCCATAATGGATTTAGAATGACGTCACATCATTTTTCGAGTTACTCTCAACGGGCCTTTTCATTTGATACCCATATTGTAGAAGTATATTAAAAATAGCTATTCCGCCACCTTGGATGCTCCGCCATAATGGATTTAGAATGACGTCACATCATTTTTCGAGTTACTCTCAACGAGCCTTTTCATTTGATACACATATTGTAGAAGTATATTAAAAATAGCTATTCCGCCATCTTGGATGGTCCGCCATATTGGATTTAGAATAACGTCACATTATTTTTCGAAATACTCTCAACGAGCCCTTTCATTTGATACCCATATTGTAGAAGTATATTAAAAATAGCTATTCCGCCATCTTGGATGGTCAGCCATATTGGATTCAGAATAACGTCACATTATTGTTCGAAATACTCTCAACGAGCTCTTTCATTTGATACCCATATTGTAGAAGTATATTAAAAATAGCTATTCCGCCATCTTGGATGCTCCGCCATAATGGATTTAGAATGACGTCACATCATTTTTCGAGTTACTCTCAACGGGCCTTTTCATTTGATACCCATATTGTAGAAGTATATTAAAAATAGCTATTCCGCCATCTTGGATGCTCCGCCATAATGGATTTAGAATGACGTCACATCATTTCTCGAGTTACTCTCAACGAGCCTTTTCATTTGATACACATATTGTAGAAGTATATTGAAAATAGCTATTCCGCCATCTTGGATGGTCCGCCATATTGGATTTAGAATAACGTCACATTATTTTTCGAAATACTCTCAACGAGCCCTTTCATTTGATACCCATATTGTAGAAGTATATTAAAAATAGCTATTCCGCCATCTTGGATGCTCCGCCATAATGGATTTAGAATGACGTCACATCATTTTCGAGTTACTCTAAACGAGCCTTTTCATTGATACCCATAAGTATATCAAAAATAGCAATTCCGCCATCTTGGATAGTCCGCCATATTGGATTTAGAATAACGTCACATTATTTTTCGAAATACTCTCAACGAGCCCTTTCATTTGATACCCATATCGTAGAAGTATATTAAAAATAGATATTCCGCCATCTTGGATGGTCCGCCATATTGGATTTAGAATAACGTCACATTATTGTTCGAAATACTCTCAACGAGCCCTTTCATTTGATACCCATAATGTTGTAGAAGTATATTGAAAATGACCATTCCGCCATCTTGGATGGTCCGCCATAATGGATTTAGAATGACGTCACATCATTTTTCGAGTTACTCTCAACGAGCCTTTTCATTTGATACCCATATTGTAAAAGTATATCAAAAATAGCTATTCCGCCATCTTGGATAGTCCGCCATATTGTCATCCAAACTGACCATGTATACAAAATTTCAGCTCAACATCATACAATGCAAATTAAATAAAAGCTTTTAATAAAAAATTAAGAAATATTAGTTTCGAAATTGAAATGACTAATTTGAAATACAATTGATGCATTTTGAAATTGAATTGATAATTTTGAGATACATTTGATACTTTTTGAAGTACATTTGATACCTTTTCAAATTAAAATTGATGATTTGTAATACAATTGATTCTTTTTGAAATCAACTTGAGCTTTCTGAACTAAAATTTGGCAAGGTGTAGTCCATTGCAATTCTAACCTACAATTTTGGATATTTTTCTGTCCTCAATATTCTAGTTCCTTTCCTTCCTTCCAGTTCTTTTCAGTGATGAAAGAAAGCTTGTCAGTCCAGAAACCAAAAGTGAGCAAGCAAGAAGAGTGTTCAAAAGTTTTGACCCAGATGGCAACAATTTCATCAGTACAGACAAGCTGCAAGATGTTCTGAGATCATTAGATCTTGTATGTGAAACTGAGTAGTAGGTTTTGATTTTTCATCAAAAGACAACATTTCATTCAGTAACAATAATTTCAGTGTGAATATAATGAAAAAGAAGCTTGACAGTGAAAGCTTGGGAATAATTCTGTTGAATGGTTTTATGGATGAGTATTTTCCCAAAGAAGAGACATCAACTCCTGATATGTTCACCCTTATTCACTACAATGGATTGCCCCAAAGTAACGTCAGTGGACAGGTAATTGCAAAAAAGAGAAGTATTCTCAAACAGTCATGCAATGGGGAAGTTTCCTATATTCAGGTTTTTATCTCACTGTGAAGTTTGTAAAAAATTAATATACAAGGTGTTTTTGAAATAAGTACATATAATCAGCACATCCTTCCCATGATATCAGATTTTTCCTAATTCTTCTAATAAAAAAAAAATTTGGTAATTTTATATACAGTGTGTCCCACTTACCATGCTCACCATGGGTATCTTTTTAACGGTGAGAGATACGAGGTCGGTTAAATGACACCAAATGTGGAGTTAGTCAAGGCCAACTATAATGTGAAAAAATATTTTGATAAAATCTATTCGTTTTTGTTTTATACGCAAAAAACAGATTTTGATCATTTTCATGTCTCCTCCGTAACTTCTTTATTTATTAAAATATTCAAATAGGAATTTCACATTCTCATGGCAGTTTTTCATAGTGATTTCGAAAAAAATATGAAATGTATACCAACTCTTCTAGAATTTGAGATATCAGCAGTAATAGTTTTGTGTTGATAACAACGGAGTTATCGTCATTTATACAAAAACAAAAAATTATTCGGAAGCCGCCATCTTGAATTCATAAATTTCAACAAAAAAGTCATGATCTCCGACCCCAAAAACCCCCACTTACCAATTTTGAATGGAATCGGACAAAATCTTGTCCGCCATCTTGGAGCAGCCATTTTTTTCAATGTCAACAAAAATTCCATAACTTCGATTAACTTGGAATTTGGCAGGTGTTCATAATTTCGGTGACAATACATTATGGAATTTTTGTTGAAATTAAAAAAAATGGCTGCTCCAAGATGGCGGACAAGATTTGGTCCGATTCCATTCAAAATTGGGAAGTGGGGGTTTTTAAGGTCGGAGATCATGATTTTTTTGCTGAAATTTACAAATTTAAGATGGCGGCTCCCAAATAATTTTTTGTTTTAATGACGATAACTCCGTTGTTATCAACACAAAACTATTACTGCGACATATCATCTGTGAGAGAAAAAAAAGTTATTTGTAACTATGTCATAGTGAGCTATGACCTACATTTGAAAAACTAAAGTTGGTGCTGATATCTCAAATTCTAGAAGAGTTGGTATAAATTTCATTTTTTTTTCGAAATCACTTCGAATAACTGCCATGAGAATGTGAAATTCCCATTTGAATATTTTCATAAATAAAGAAGTTACGGAGGAGACATGAAAATGATCAAAATCTGTTTTTTGCGTATAAAACAAAAACGAATAGACAAACCCCACATTTGGTGTCATTTAACCGACCTCGTATCTCTCACCGTTAAAAAGATACCCATGGTGAGCATGGTAAGTGGGACACACTGTATATCTCGATAAATAGTGGTTTGTTCACATTTCATTATCAAATTCGTGTTTTTCAGACAAAAATACGTAAGTAACAAAAAAATTTTCGAAAAAAAACCATAAGTGCAAAATTACCAGAAATTTCATACGGAAAATTGAACAAGAAACGAGAAAAAAATTAGGTAGGCCACTTTGAAACAATTTAAACGATTGAAATCCGCATGATTGTACCTTCCGACGAAAATTTGAACAGAGGTGACGTCAGAATTGCTACAGTGTGGAACTTTAGGTGGAGAAAGTGGTCTAACCTCAAATTTTATTTTGATCCCCATATTTTTTCTATTGGTACCACTGGATAGTATACATCGAGCATACTCAAGGCTTGAAATATTTGCACTTTAGTCAATGCCACCCTGTATAAGTATTTTTTCTTTTTTTTGTAAGATCAAATTCTACTTCAGAAAAAAAAAATAAAAGAGAAACTTGGCTCCTCCAACGTGGCCGCATTGAAATATAGAGAAGTCCGATAAATCTTTCCTTGTATAACCTCTAGTCTGCGCCACTGAACTATTTTCGATATTATAATCACGTGATATGTCTATGTCATGAATGTTTGATTTCCGGACGGTCGGATTTTCAAAATGAAATTTCGATTTCTTATTTTGACATAATTTGTTAATATCGTTGAATTTGACACTCTGCTGAATTGAAAAATAGTTCAGCGACACAAAGTAGATGTTAGACAAGGATAGATTTATTGGACCTCTCTATATTTCAATGCGGCCACGTTGGTAGCATTGCAGAGAGAGATGGAAGAGGAGAGAACTTTCCTCTCTCTCGTTCAAGATACAAAAGAGCTCAATAGAGCAGTTCAGCTACCGCTGAGAGAAAAAAAATGTCTTCCCATCTATCCTTGTCTTCAGTGTTCCAACATGAAATAATGAGCACTGGAAATGAGAAGAAATGGAGAAGAAGACCGTTCTAACCTTCTTTTATATTGAGGTTAATATGATATTCTTCTCCATTTTTTCCCATTTCCAATGATGCCAACATAATATTTTCATTATTTTATGTTGGAACACTGAAGACAAGGACAGATGGGGAAGACATTTTTTTTCTCTCTCAACGGTAGCTGAACTGCTCTATTAGGAAATATAGTATCATTGAATGTAGCCGATAGTGATTAATGAACTCGTTCCTTAATAAAACGCATCTATTTTCTATGAAAGTTGCAAAATGTTGCATAAATCCGCCATATATCTTGCAACAGCGCCTAATACTTCAGTCCGTCCACACCACTCAAAATACTGACAGGCACAACAAGAGGAAGGAGCCATGGGTGTCGGCTTCATTCTGTTCTGACCGATGGCAATAAATTAGGAAGGATAGTATCATTGAATGTAGCCGATAGTGATGCATTGATTCAATGATATTTTCCTTTAGGATCGAGCTCTGTTCGAGATATTTCAATGCATAAATAGTAAAACCATAACCTGTCAGAATGAAGCCAACTACCTTCTGCATTCCTGCTCCGAGTGCAATTTGTGGTTATGTATGTTTATGTTTACCAGTTTTACTTCTTCTTCTATATTTTCATTTGTTAGCTATTCGCTAGCTGTATTCTTCACCATCAACTATTTTTAGACTAGATTCAGAATGTTTGTCACAGTTTGCCGCACCGAAAATTAGAAATTGCTTTAATTTGAAAATGATAACGACTTGGACTTTATCGGTCGCCATTTTGTACAGCGTGGACATAAAACTAGAGAGTTCCGAACTTATTTTATATAAATTCATCCGAAGGAAACTTCCCCAATTATATCTGGTTATAGTTAACCTGGAAAAAAATCAGGAAACTGAACCAAGAAAACACAGAAATTTTAACTGAGTTTGTTTATTTAGGGATTTTTTTTGTAGGTGCAATATCATATTGGTTCTGCGATCCTTTTGGAGTCAGATATAAAGTCAGTGTGTGAGTCTAACCCTATGCTAACAGCTCTCCAAACCAAATGGCCAAATATAGAAGTCAACTGGTATAATAATATCACACCATCCCTTAACTGAACATTACCAGTTTCATCGTATTGAATTTTCTTGTAATTGTATGCATTTAAATATTGATAATTTAATTGTTACACTGTCAAATACATTTTTTATTTTGCAAATTTTGCAGTTTTTCATTGTCCATAATCAGACAATGGGCGTGTACACCTTAGTAGAACTTCTAACTCAAACCATGTTTATAATGATCCTTCTATACATGAATAATGATTGACGACATAATTCGATCGAAAAATCAACTGGAATGTTTTATTTTTGGACATAAATGATAGTACCTTCTGAAAACGGACCCTCTTATGACGTAGAAACCTCATCTCGCCATAGTTAAAAGAAAATACCAAACGTCCGACGGAGACTGAGGCAACTGAAATATTACCTCCCGCTAATTCACTCTGTCAGAAATTGTCTTATTTCAGTGTATTAGGGTTTTGACGTTTTGACGCCTCGTTTTCAGAGGTCCGAAAAATCGGGGATTTCAATAATTTTTTACAAAACGTAGAGAGCTCACAGCAAGAATCGGTTTGCGGTGGTGAGCTAGTTTGGGTGAGTTCTATCGAATTATGAAATAACAATTTTTTGTGATATAAGTCCATTTTTCCAGTTTTTTTACACAACAAGAATGTGACTTCCAGAGTTGGTCAATTGATATTTCTCAACATTTGTGGAAAATATTTTCAATCAGATGTTCTGAAATTGGAAATTGTCGTTTTTATGAAAAACAATCTTGATCACGATTTACTGACTCTGAAAAAAAAATCGAATTTTATGTAATTATTCACATTTAATGAGAATATGCCACCAAAAAGAATTGATAAATTAAGGATACATACTATTCCATGTTCAAAAAATGAAAAGCAATGTAATTGTACCGAATATATCAACAAAATTGATGGAGTAAAGTATTTGGGAATTCACTTAGATTGCAAGCTCAAATGGCATAAACAAATTGATGAATTGACACAGAAACTAAGGAAAACACTCTATAAGTTCAGGTTACTGAGAAACATTGTCAGTTGGAATTTGATTATCAGTTTCTATTATAGTCTTTTTCAATCTATTCTGGCTCATGGCATAATACGCTGGGGAGGAAGTAGGCCAAGAAATTGTGTTTGATGATTTTTGTTTGCTCAACAAAGTAGATAATTTTGAGAAGCTGTTTTATTTAAAAATTCGAAAATTATTTTTGCCCCATAAGTACTTCTAGACTACTGGATGTATTGGCATATTTGGCGGGACGACAATGGCAAGTGATCATTCCCAAATTCTACGCCATTGGCGGAATTTCTATTTCGTCACAATTTTTCGATTCTCCAATAGTTTATAAATATCCTCCCCTTTCTTTATGAAGATAAATCCAGATATTTCAAGTTAAACATGAAGCTATGCAATGGGGAAGACCACTGAAGGAAGAAATCCATGCAAACCTCTTTCAATCAACGAATCATGATTTACGTTTTATGTATAATCAATATTATAAGTTGAAGTTGAAGGGAATTGAATCTATATCGTTTCAAAATCAGCATATTTCATTCGATAATTCAAAAAGCCAAATATGATGGTGGAGCCGTGACGTATTAGTCCCGAACTGTAGCTATCCCTCTCTCATACCTCGTCATTCTGCAGTGTGATCGGTCAGTTCAAGGGCAATAGACGTGTTGGGACTAAGACGGCGCACCAGGCATACCAATAGATTGACAAACATTCAAATGACGCAGGAATTGTGTGTTTGAAATGGACATATTCTAATTCATTTTTTTCATCGTCTTAGCATGTATGAAAAAATTCAAAATCGATTCACTGGTAGTTTTTCAGTATAGAGTTCACGCTAATGTCATTTTGAAAAAACAGTTTTCTCCCCCATTATCTTCACCTTAATTAGGTATGTCGGTGATTGCATCATTGGATTGCTTTTATTGCGCAAATGAAACTTCAATCCATATAAAAAAAAATAACACCCTGTGACCCAGACAGCAGACACATTTTATGTAGGTGAATTGGATTGAATCTTCATATTTCATATCTTGAGTTCAGGATTCTATTGTTGAAATATTTCCAATTAGTACTGAAACATACTGTATTTAATGGTTATTTATTTGTAACAATGCAGTGGGAGAGATTCTGTAATCACGACCTTTGGGTTCGGAGTCAGCGCTTCCAACAACTGAGCTATCACCATTTTTCCGTATTAGAGTAGATATTTTATAAATATAATTTCGAAGATTGATCTTTTTTAATTATTCCTGTTATTTAAAAAAAAAAAGGAATTCATCAATTCAATGTTGAGTATGTATGTTATTTGAAAAATTACCTTCAACAGGAGCATTCTGCAGAAAATAATTGATTTGTTCAGCATTAAGTATTTTTGATTTTTTACTTCCGAATCCATCTTTCCCTTTTGAGGAAATGGAATATATATCGACCAGAGTGATGATGATTTCATCGAATTTGATAATTCTTTAAACTATACTAAAAGGATATTTTCCGAAAATGACACGGTATTATTTCTAATTCTCCAGTCCAGGAATTTTTGATTTGCTATTTCGTATCATTCACGAGACTTAGCGGGTAGCAACTCATTTTTTACCATTCTAGCTTTTTCCAACATTTCTGGTGGTGTAGAAATAATCTGTTCATCGTCATCGCTTGACATCATTTTTTTCAACTGAAATTGAGGATTATCAATATAACTTACCTCTGATGCTTTCGGTTTCGGTGGATAGCTGGATTGATTGATAAAAAGATAAGACACATCGCCTAAGCAACAAAACAAAGTCATCTATCAACATACCTATGGAGAAGCTTACTGCCATTGTTTTGTGTACAATATTCATCACTTACAGTAGTAGTCGTAGGAAAAAACTATTGATTTGAGAGAAAAACAAATAGGTTCCAGAGAAAACGTAAGAATATCTAGAGAGAAACATTAAAAAACAAAAACAGAGAACTGGAAATGAAAACACTAGCTAAAACAAAGACTTTATTTATCATTTATAAATTGTACACAGTGCACAAATTTCATCTAATTTCATCTTGGCAGTTTGTGAATGGAAATATAGTGAAAACCCACAATTCTCTATAATAATCATTCTATTTAATATTCAAGTAGACAAAACAATTTCGATAATAAAACCAACAAAAAAGAACATTCAAAATATATTTTTTCGAAGCCATAACAAACGTATAAAGTTTAAAAATAATCAACAGACTGAACACTAGCTAGCTATAAGAAAGTGAAAAAAAAACTGTCTATATTATATTTTTCAAGTAGGTAGTATAATTTCCAAATTTTTCTATGATTTACGTGATTACAGTGGGCTTCTCAAGCCCAGTGAATTTCTGGAGTTGCGATATATCCAGCGCTATCCGCACCAGAGGCTTCAACATATCCTGGGCATCAGCCAGGACGTCCTTTTTCTCGTAACTGTCGATGTATATTCTGATTGTGGCGCCACTGCTGCCGGTGCCGGACAACCTGTAGATGACTCGCGAACCGTCCTCGAAAAGTACTCTTATGCCCTGGAAAATCCGCGAAAAAAATTGCTAAATACCTCCTGAAGCTACTATAATTTCAGCTGAGGAGTTGTAGATGAAAATCACCTTGAACCGAATACTATACAGGGTAACTCACGGTCGATGGTAGGTTAGACTAGAGTCACTGGATGGTATTAGTTTGATAAGAGTTCGGACACAGCTGAACTTTTGTCCTTTTCTATTTTCTATAATACAATGGTTTAAGTGAATAAAAGAATAAGACATATATTCTGCTCTTTGTCTTTTCAATTTCCCTAGTAGCGCCTTATTGTCAGATACGATTTTAGAGGTTATATTTTCTGTCAAATCAATCATAGCCGTAGATGGACAATGGATATAGGGTACAAACACCCACTTCAATTCATAGTGATACACTTCTAGCAGAGCAACTATTATGTAAATGGAAAAAATGCATGTAACAACATTGTAATATCAGAGAATATATACATATGGATAAACTTATAGCTATAATTCCTTATTGTATGTGAAACTGTACTCCAGTGAAGTATTCCTGAGACAATTTTGAGAAATAAAGTCTATATAAGCTTGTGTCTGGAAATGCTTCATTTCGGAGATACAGGGTGTTGAAATACAGAGAACAAATCATTTTTCGATAAAGATTTCATGGGAAAAAAGTAATTTATTTTGACGAGACCTACCAAATACTTGGTTTTGTAAAGTTCTCAGCAACTTCACGTAACATGGATCGATATAGAAAATATCTCCAATAACGATAACCTCCAGCGTAATCAAGGCCCTTATAATAATTCCTTTGATACATAAATATCTATTTACTTTCCACTGTTGAATTTTGAATTCGATCAACACCGAAAACGCCATTCAAAGATATATCACGTTGAAGTTTACTTGCTTTTCTTATTTTTGTTTTCAAATTTTCAATTTTATAATGTAATTTTGCGATCATTTCCCCTTTTTCCATGATTATTTTGTTTTATATTTTGTGTGATGATAATAATGGAATTTTGTTCATGAAATCGTCTGCTTTGTAAATTGATGAAACAGCAGATTCTCTCAAACAGATTTTGAAATCTTCTGTTTGGAAATGGGCCTAAAATATAGATTCATTCTAATCAGATGCTGTTATAAGAAGTGAATTTCAATGAGTACCTCACAAATTTCGCTCGTCTTCAAATTTATTTTCCACCCAGGCCGTTACATATCTTCCTTCCATAAGCGAATGCTTGATATTTGATTTGGAAAATCGAATAAATGATATCCATTTGTTTCAAAATTGGTACAATTTATTACACAGCAAGTGATTTCCATAGCTGCTTTTATCTCGAAAGTATAATAATTATGAAATTTTATTTCAATTCTGACGTTTATAAAATGAATTGTCAAATTCAAAAAATTTTGAATGAAAGAGCGCGGGACGACTATGGTGCTCTTGTCACGATGCAAGGTGTGTAACTTTATAAATCTAAACATTGAAAAACCCTAACCGTTGTCATTTCTGTGTCCGAACTCTTATCAAACTAATACCATCTAGGGTCCCTTGATGGAAATTGACATTAAAGATCGTGCATTAAAGTCATCTTAACAGGGTACGGACAGATCATAGCTGCATTCTTTTTTAATGATCTAGAGATTTTAGTTTTGTCTACTGGCATCCCTGACATTGCTGTCACGTCTCATCCATGGGCGCTACAGAAAATCATTCAAAATATTAATGATAGGTATGTACAGGGTATTTACTTGTTGGGAAAGATCATATGGCGAACGATTTTGTAATTATGATCCGATTCTATTCAAAATTGGAAGGTATGTGGGGTTTTCCGGGGTTGGAGATGATGATTGTTTCGTCAAACTTGAAAAATTCAAGATGACGGATCCAATATATAGCAAAAGAAACTAATAAGTATCAGATCCTATTTAAGATAGGTATCTGAGGGTTTTCGGGGTCGAACTTTATGATTTTTTGTCAAAATTGGGAAATTCAAGATAGCGGATCGAATATGGCGAACGAAACTTGTAATTATGATCCAATTCTGTTCAAAAAATCGAAATTGGTATCTGGGAATTTCCAGGGTCGGAGGTTATGATTATTTCGTCAAAATTGGGATATTCAATGACGGATCCAATATATGGTGGACGAGTTTTGTAATGAAGATCCGAGTCTATGCCAAATTGGTATCTATGGGGGATTTCGGGGTAGGAGATTATGATTGTTTCGTCAAAATTGGAAAATTCAAGATGACGGATCCAATATGGCGAAATACATTAGTTTATATAATTATTACTTCGCCACAAATAGAAAGTATGTAGGAACGTGCCTATAAGTTATACTGCGTATACCTACTTCTTTCTTACTTTCATCAAAAGATTATTCGAAAATGACTTTTCATTCAAAAGAGACGGAAAAACCATATGTTTAACATGGGGGTGAAGTATATTATTCTATTCTTTACTTTCCTGCACATTTTACGTATAAATTTTTATCAGCCTACTTTTCGTCCTAGGCGAAGTTTTATACAAAGTGTGATATTAGTAACTCCATAAATTCTTCTCCGAGTTGGATTTCTGAAAATATATTTAGCACACATGACATGAGTACAGTAGTCTAGATACCCACATCGCGGTTTCCACCATTTCTCAATCATAAGGCTCAGCTCATTCAGCTCATAGATAAACTACTACTCGGCTTGAAATCATAATTCATTCAGTCAATTCAGTCAAGAACAGTCTCTTCTGGTGAAATATATTAAGCTTTCAGTACAATTTATACAGGCTGATTCACGGTGGATGGCACGTTAGACGTTTATGGAGAACGGGACATAGGATCATTCTGAAATTTTGGTTACTCACGTAGTTGCTCTTGGTCTATCGATCTAAAATATTTTCAGCTCTGCAGCGTTGCCGCTTCTATCGAAAAGTAGCAACAACTTTGCTATTTTAACTGGAACACCCTGTATTTTATTGCATTTTCAGATTCTCTCTCAAGAGCTGATTTCATCGATGTATCACACTTGGGGTCTAGCGGTAATGATTACAGCGATATAGGGTGTGAAAAATCGACATTTTTCAACTTCAGGAATTTTTTTTGGCGAAACTATTTATTATTGGTCAAAACGGCTCACATGTCCCTATCTCAACTTTTGATCAACTATCTACTGACATTTAATTGAAACAAATACAGGGTCGTGCAGAATTCAGAATCTTGATCACCCGGTATATGTCCCAATCAAATATCAGTAGATAGTTAATCAAATGTTGAGATAGGGACATGTAAGCCGTTTCGACCAATAATGAATAGTTTCGACAAAAAAAAATCCTAAAGTTGAAAAATTTCGATTTTTCACACCCTTTATCTCTGTAATCATTTCCGCTGGACCCCAAGTGTGATGCATCGATAAAATCAGCTCTTGATAGAGAATCTGAAAATGCAATAAAATACAGGGTGTTCCATTTAAAATAACAAAGTTGTTGCTACTTTTCGATAGAAGCGGCAACGCCGCAGAGCTGAAAATATTTTAGATTGATAGACCAAGAGCAACTATGTGAGTAACCAAAATTTCAGAATGATCCTATGACCCGTTCTCCATAAACGTCTAACGTGCCATCCACCGTGAATCAGCCTTTATGTTCCCTAAACCGCAATGATTATTCTGGAGTAGTAAACTCGGCTGCATATAATTCGTCAGAACGTATTCTATCAACACCGTATTATATCAAAATATATTCGATCAAAATGGTAATTCAACAGAACCGTAATTTAACGAAGCAGTAATTCATCGGCATGCAAAACATCATAATGTAATCTATCATGTTGTAAAATGAAGGAATGTACTTCATAAGAACGTAAAACATCATACCGTACTTTATAGAAATGGTAATTCAACATAACCGTATTCCATCAGAATGGTATTTCATCAGAATCGTATTCTGACAGCACGGTGAATCAACAAAACCGTATTAAATAAAAAAGGCAATTCATCAGAACCGTATTTCGTCGCTTCAGTAATATATCATAATGGTAAATCGTCATGATGGTAAACTATCAGAACTGTAATCCGTCGAAATATTATTTTGTCAGCAGTGTACAGTATCGGTACTGTAAAACATCATAACCGTATTTTAACAGAACTGTAAATCATCAGAACTGTGTTTCATAAGAACCGTAATTCATCGCTTCCGTATTTCATCAGCATATCAATGTATCATAATCGTATTCTATCAGAACGCTAATCCATCATAACCGTATTTCATCAAAACCGTATTCCATCAGAACCGTATTGTATCAGCACGGTATTTCGTCAGCATGGTAATCCATCGTAGGTACAGTGCCCTATCGGGAACGGAGTATCGATTTTCTGTCCGCTTTTCAGGTATGCTATGCGATGGCGCTGGTGAATGCATGTGAGATAAAAGAAGTATCAGATCAGAATAACTATTCTTACATGAAATATGTTATTCTGAATGAGATCTCGATAGAATTTCACCTCAAGAATCTTTGTAAGCTTCTCAATATAGCTTCTCAATGTGGGATCGTATATTTTTTATATTCTTATTGTCGGTATTTGATAAGTGTATAGAGAGGCAGTTAGTTTCAACTGCCTGCGTGCGGTATCAATTATCAGGAATTCAGTTGTACCTACGTAAATTAGATTGAAAGAAAAACCTTATTTAATTTAGAATTTCCTTACACTCTGTAGATATGCATCTTATCGAAATGTTATATCTATACAAGCATATATAGAGAAACAAGGTGCTTTCAAAGTCAGAATGAGATGACCGATGAAAAATTTCATGCGTATACAGGGTGAGTCACAATAATTTGAGCCTTGACGAATTTCAAGATCATCAGATAAATAACCTAATTTTGGAGTTGAAAGTTCGTATCACCGTATATCCTGAACTCAATCCGTTCTGTGATAAGGTGTCAGGAATTGGATTACGATTTGAAATGTTAATAGGCTATCGACTGCTGAATTAGTTATAGGTAATCATTTATCTAGATTTTTTTG